CGTCCGTCCCCCCCCCCCCCCCCCGCTACGCCTCTGATGTAGGCTAACGCCGAGTTTACACTTGCAACAAGTATACTGCACATGTCTAGGGGAAATAAACTTCGCAATAAGCGAGTAGCTCCCCCCCCCCCCTTCCCCCCACACCCATTCCCTCATAATATTAACTATTGTGACGCTACCAGAGGCGTAGCGAACCTTCCCGGCGCCCGGGGATAAGCTTTCGATTTGCACCCCCCCCCCCCTCTCAAACTTTTGATTAGCACCCCCCCCCCCCTCAAACTTTTGTTTGATATGCACCCCCCCCCCCCCCTCAAACTTTCGATTACTTTTTCCAACCCATTTTGGTGCCCCCTAAGGTCGGCGCCCGGGGACATATGTCCCCCCTGCCCCCCATCGCTACGCCTCTGGACGCTACTGGTCTTAACGACATGGCATTTAGATCTAGATCTAGTTCCTGGTGTAGATTCTAGGCCAGCGGTTCTTAACCCTTTTAGTAGTATTGAACCCCTACAGTTTCATAAGCGCATTCCTCATAGTTCTGTCGTCCGCACTGAAAGAATCCTAATCCAGAATCATAAGAGTCGGGTGTGCATTAGACCCCTGTAACTGATTTAAAAAAAAAAAAAACCTAGGGAGCCCTAGGTTCGATAGAACCCAGGTTAAGAATCACTGATCAAAGCGAAATGAATGTGCACACCAACAGCTTTTCGCTTCTCAAATTCAAGTAAACGCGCGCAATTCGTATTTATTATTATTAGGCCTTGTTTCAAATATGCTTTTTGTGTTTTAAAATAGTTGTGTACAGGCATATTTGATATTAAAAATACATACGCATGAGAGCTTTCTTGCTTTCATTCTACGGTATTAAGGAGTTGCATGTATAATTAAAGAAATTATCAAACTATCTTTTTGTTTACATTTTACTTCCAAACATTTTCATACTCCCGCTTTTGGTACAGCCTCCCTTCATAAACCAATAAGATATCAGATGCTAGGTCACGTGACAACGCTTCCTTGAGTCTGCTGCCCACCACCTCGTGTGAAACTAGCGTTTTCCTAGTGCCTTTCGGCATACAATTTTGGAAAATCTGAATATCAAAATGAGTGACGCAAAAACCGCTCTTGCTCGCGATGGAACAATGCAAGCTACTGCAAAGGTGAGTATATTTTTAATATATATTTAAGTATGAAAATTAATTCTGAAACAGCACAGAAAGCTGTGGTCGGATCGCCATTTTGCGTTGTATTACCACCATTGTGAACAGTGCTCACTTTTCAACACTGAAGGCAGTGATTGTTAGCGTGATTATATTTAAATGACGCAATATATTGTTAATTTCTGACTATTTTTAACTTAATAATTGTATGCTCTATCTAGCTTTTCTATTTCTATCTTTTTAAAAATCAAGAATGCATAGTTTCTCAAATAAAAGAAGTAAACTACTGCGGGTCATGGTGATTTCCAATATGGCGGCCATTTGGCATGGCGAACAGCAAGGTCACTATTTCCGAACAAAAATTTCAAAAATACTACCTGGTCGTAAATGGCGCCAAAATGATAATTATCATGTTTATACGTTTCTAACAGTTATTTTGTGTATGTCATTTTAAATTATAGCATGGTTTCTATCGTTGCATCGTTAGTATATGAATAGACGGCATGCAGCCTTTTTAAAAAAATAAAATAGGCTAAAGTAAAAATGCCTCCTTTTCCCCCCCTTTTTGCAAATTGAACCATGCTTGGTGTTGACCAGACCTAGACTCAAAATTTTCTATAGACTAGATCTAGACTTCTAGGAATCTAGATCTAGACACTATCTGCTATTTGCAAAGAGGTTTGTAAATTTACATTGTCTGGTCTAGATAGATCTATAGAAAGTGAAAAGCATTTTTGATTCTCAAGTAGAGAACCAATTTTTTTAGTAGGCCAACATTTTAGTGAATTATGTCCATATAGAAAATGTAGAATCTAGCTTCTAGAATATTCTAGATCAAGATTTCTAGGCCTAATCCATAATGTTATAGAATATAGATAGATTCTCTAGATCTAGAATCTATATTGTTGCCTTAAGTCAAATAGACTAGATTCTAGAACTGGATTTCTTCTTTTACTTTGTATAGTCTGTGCATTGCTGTATTGTTTGAGGGATGGTCGATGGAATGAGTTTTTAGTTGCGGCATTGTATCTTTCTCTCAAACCGATCATTTCCCTTTCTTCGGTTTTTATTTTTAGGTGATTTTCTGATTAGGCCTATAGATCTATGGCCTATTTATTTTTAAATAATATTGTTGGGGGGGGGGTGTCTAGCTTAAGGCCTCACATTTTTCTTCTACTTGATAATAACCATTGATGTTTCTATACATTTAGGCCCTACAGGTTTTTTTAATGGTTGCATATAAGTGTTTTCAGCTTTATAAAAGTAATTATACAGACATTAAAAAAGCATTTGCTCACTGTTCCCTAAAAGAAATCACAGCAAATTTATATTGTGTACATATTTTAAGACTGCTTGGGGGGGGGGGGGGGAGAGAAGTGAATTAGCAATTATTATGAAGACAGGTGCTGATAAAATAAACTAGTTTCTGTTAGTATATTTAAAGATTGTGTGGGCTAGGCTGAACACCATAATGCTACTAGGAAATTATGAGAGGTAGCAGCTAAATAATAATACACACAATGCATAAGATCTTTTTTTCTGATTTTATTTCACTTAAGAATTGATGAAGTGAACAAATGTTTGTGACTATTTTTAAGGGGCCACTACACTGCAAAAACCAAACTAGCCCACGGCAGAGATAAGCAAGTAACAATATACTATTATTAATAGTTAGCAACTGTAAATAAAAATTCCACATTCTCAGGACCTAATTATGCATGGTTGCCATGGTAACGGCGGCCATCTTGAAAAAAAACACCTTTTTTACAAATCTAATGTTTCAATAATGTGAACAAATAATGATGGTTTTATTTCTGTTTATTTAACTAGAACCATTCTAGAGTGTACAGTAGCAGTTTGTTTTCATTAAAATGTAAAAGAAACATTTTTTTCAATTTTTATAAAAAATGTATCATTCAAAACAAGGCATACAAGTTATGAAATTTCTTAAAAATAAAAATGTACACAATGCACATCATTTTCACATGTATAGTTACACCACAAAATGAATAATGAAAAAGTACACCAAGTTTCAAGACATTATCTCTGCAAACAGCTAAAACATTAGAGTTACAATAAGCAAAAATCTTGAAAAAACAAGTTTTGAGAAAATTAACTTTTAAACATTTAAAGTGCCATAAAAAAAAATCTATCAGCAATATCAGGAAGAAACTTTTAGTATTCAAAGTTCAACATAAGCAGTTGAAAAATAAACCATTGCCAACAATAGTTTGCACATTCTTCTGAAGTTTTACCACTTATAATCTTATAGTGGTTAAGTTTGCACAATTCCGCAGTTTACTTGCACTAAAAGTTAAACCTTTCTGATCAACTATTGACATGTGTAGTTGCTATTGTCTTTTTCCCAGACTAACACAAGCTTGATATAGTACATTTTAGCATATTTGAACTATAGTTTAATACAAATTTGACAAATAATGTACTAATAATATTCACATAATACTTTAGCTTATGACGACATTCACAATTTTGCTTGAAGAGGGTGAGCTCAATAACTTGACATCATAAGTTATTTATAGTAGATGGGCACTTTGCTGCTGTATTGCTCTTAAGTTCTAGTACAAACAGCATTTATCTTGCTAATAAAAACATAAGCAGCTTTAGTGTACTTACTTGGTAGTATCGCAGCAAAACTTTGCGCAACAGTATGTAAAATGATGAGAGCTTCATTGTTTTTTTTTCAAATCCATTCAACAAGTAAACATCTGAATTTTGAGAAACTAACACCACTGTCTATATAGATAACATGGCTCTAATATTGACATCATGATGTAGGTGTATCTAAAGTGAGCTTCTTGTAAACCATGAGGTCAAATTTACATTTCATGACATCACATTTCCTTGCGGAAAGCCCAAAGTTTTATCCACAATGCTTGCACAGTCCTAATTGTGGCATATCTTCTGGATATGTAGATGTCAGCAAGCAAATAATGTAAGGGACAGTTATATTTCTTGATTCTTGTTTGAACTCATCCTATTGTAACAACCTAATAATGTCATAGTCAACAAAATTGTATTTTGAAAAACTAATCATTCATAATGAATAGTCAATAGGGCTTATATTATTATACTGACCATAGATCAAAACACAAGGAATAAATCTAACCATAAATTTAGAAAACTGCTTATACTAAAATTTAACCAATATTTATATTTTAGTCAGTACTCAGCAAACACAGATGTTAATTTCTAAATATACAACTACTACCAACTAGAATCTAGATCTAGACTATTCTAGACTAAATCTAGATAATTCTAGATCTAGGTCTACTAGATTCGTGGGTCGTTATGACTGGGTTCTACAGTTTCATTTATTTAAAAATAGTAATTGACAAGCGTGTTTAACATTGGTAAATAGTTAACTAAATTAATTCTTATAAAGGAATTAAGCTGTACTAGACAACATATTAGTAGATTTAGAAACTAATGTCAGCGCGTCAGTCAGTGAAGTCAGTGAGATATCGCTGTGTGGTGGCATGGCGACTTCACTAGATCTAGATTTAGCGCCTAGTTATTAAAAAAAAATTACCTTAAAATTTCTTTCGCTGAACAATGAACTCCTGTCATGGTATCTGTTATTTCGAGCAATAACTGCATTATTTACACGCCATGTTGAAAACAAATGGTTTGTTATTGCAAAAATTGATGTGAAGACAATCACGTAGCCATGTTTGTTTGTTGACAAAAATCCGTCGAACTCGATCACTGCGCATGCGCAGAAAGGTCATTACTAAGGTACGGCTTGAGAATACAAATCGGACCAATGAAATCGCTTGATTTGCGAAATCTTTTATTGAAATATCACATTTGCAAGTAAAATAACTGTATTCGAATGTAGAGTATCGTTTACGGGTCAAACAGACGAAAAAAATGATATATAATATACTATATTTTTCTTTATAGTTGCTTTATAAAAATCAACTCAAAATTTCAGAAATTTGATTAAAAAGTTGATTTTTTAAGCAGAGGGTGGTGTCTTTAAAATTATAATTAAAATAGAAAAATGTATCGTACAAGTGTACTTGAAACTGTTTTCGATTCTAGGAATATGAAATTTATTAAAACATCAATTTCCTAAAAATATTTTTTTCCAAGTTTAATTAGCATTTTTTACATGTAGAGGCCCCTTAATAGTAAAATAAAATATAGAGAACTGTAGGCCACGTGTTAAATGTGTTATCCGTACAAGAATAAAGAAATTTGCAAATTAGGGTTGTATGTTCAGGTTTTAACCACTTGAAATGTCTTTTTCTCTTTTAAAACTTTTTCTCTTTTAAAATAAGCCAGCAGTGTCATTTTTTAACTTAACTGAATGTTGGTCATTTTTTTTTAAATTTCATTAGGTTTGAGTGCAGCATTGTTGACCACAAAATTATTCCATTTGGTTATACTTAGCTATTTGTTGGGTATTAGGACATCTTTTTTCCACAAATTTTATCAGCCTTTCTTAGTGCTGACTTTGCACGATAAGACTTAAATAAACATACATCCTAAGTACATTTTTGGTTGCTCTCATATGAGTATAAATATAGCAAACTTTTAAAATATTTATAAGTGTTTGATATTGATTCTTGGTCACAATAAAGTAATTTATGCTATTTGTATCTATTCGGTTTCACTTTGTCCTCCTACACATGCTATCATTAGTTGTTCCTTTTCTTCTTTTGTTTTTCTACCCTACATGGTTGTGTAAATATTTAATACGACTTGTTATGCAATTGCGTCATCTACCATGACTTAAAATGAGGTCATGAAGAACAATGATGCAACTATTGAGTTGAATAATGCTTTTTTTTTTTTTTGAAAGCTTGGTCACATCTCTGAGTTATGTCCCAAACCATTAAATGTTTAATGATCCGAGTTTTATGATAGGTTGATACCAAGAAATACCCTAGTATAAGTACAACTTTTGAAAATGAGCCTTTAGCTCAATTATCCATAAATAATAGCAGTTCCTTAAAAGCCATTTTTTAAGTTTCTTGCGTTTGGGGAGGGGTATACTTTACACACTAAGTACTGTAACGATCAATTGCAAACAGGCGTCTCTGTTTACGTTGGTTTAAATTTTAATCTTAAAGGAAGCTGAGCGTATACTTGATGGTAAGAAACCAGATGAGGATGCTCAAACAAGAGGGCAGCAAAAACAGATAGAAGAATTAAAAAAAGAAAAGACCCCTGAACCCCCTGCTAAGAAAACTAAGTTAACCAAAGACAGCACAATGGCAGCCACTGCTAAGGTAGGCATGGTGTTTAGCTTAGTTTCGTTCAGTACCTAGTGTGAACTACTGTAACTTAAACTATTTGCGTGGGCCCCTTTTAACTGGTAACGTTTATGTACAGATCCTTGTGCAGAGATGTGACTTTCATATTTCAGGAGGGAAAAAAATATTTTTAGTTGACATTGCATTGAGGTGTATCCCACTTCAATGCAGTTTATTATATATAACAAATTTTGAATGTAGGGCTGCTGTATATTGCATCGCAATGTTGGTCTGATTATAAATACATGCCCCGTCCAATGAAAGTGAATTTGAGTTTCACACCAACATTTGGGTGGGTTGCTGGCGTTTGTTCCATTCTTTAAAACAATTGTTTGTGTTGCTAGTTAAAGCATTTCAGTTTAAGCTTCGCTGCTGGTTTTTTACTTATTGAGTTTCTCCTCGGTACTACTGAGTACCATATATATTCAGTGGGGATCACCTCACTGTGGTTGTCAGTGTACTACTTGCGGTATAGGGCATTATGTTATTTCTTTGTCCCTCTGTCAAAAGTATTTGTTCTCTGGTTTCAAGCCATTATCATTTTGTCATGTTTATCAAAAAATGTTGGAATCTCATAATTAATAGATTCATTTTACTAAAATACATTTTTATTTTTATGCATGTTGATACAGACCTTTACATTAATAGGATAAGTCAAATTTGACTTCTCCACGCCTGCACTCAACCAGTTCTTAAAGAACCCCATAAATTGTTCATTCTGTCATAATCCAATATTTTTAGATACAATTGAAGCCATGCTTATTCTGTAATTGTTATGTTTTGTTCCCTTGATGCACAATTTTGTAGATCATTCTTCATTCATGTCTTTCTAATGTTCTCCCATCCTAATATAATTTTTTTTTTAAACATGATTTCACAAATGTAAATTGTCATTCTGACTAGTGCTGAAGTAACTAGTATTTATTGGCTTTTAAATAGTTTTGTTTTCTTTTTTATCTAATTAGGAGGGCAAAGCTTTACTTTCTGGTGAGAAGCTGGGTGATACTCGACAAGAAACAGCTGACAAGAAAAGCAAAGCCAAAGCTCCTTTGAAGAAAAATTCAACAATTGCAAAAACAATGGAAGAAGGTAGGATTAGCTTAATTTGGAATTTTGTCAAAAGGTGTTGCTGCAATTTTACTTGTTTTGTCTTAGTTTAAAATTTTCTTTTCTAATTATCATGAATTTGTTTTATTCAAATTTTAGCAAAATATGTTCTTGATGGAGAAGTTGATGTGAATTCTGGCCGAAAAACAAGATCTCAGAGCCGAGGTGATGTTCCTAAACCCCCAGTTAAAAAAGCTCCAGCTCCAAAAAGAGCAGCCAAAGAACCTGCAAATAAGGGTAAAGGTAAAAAAGGGAAAGTAGAAGAACCGCCAGCTGAGGTAGATTCAGATGAGAAAAAAAATGCTAAGGCTGATACTGAAGAAAAAAAGAATGCAAAGGCTGAAACAGAAGAGAAGAAGGCTCCCAAAGGTAAAAAGGGAAAGGCAGCTGCACCAGTTGAGGAAGCTCCAGCAGCAACAACAGAAGGGGATTCTGATGAAAAAAAGAGCGATAGTTAGTTTATTCATTTTTTTTGTGTCATTTACATTCACCTGTCGTGTGTATAATTTGTGAACATTTGATCACAGCCAGTGGTTCATAGTCTTATGCCTTTCTAAGGTATGTTAAGTTAGGCAGCTGGGGGTGTATTGAGTCAGAACAACTGTGGTTGAGTCTTTGCAAAAGTTTACCATGGCTACTTCAGAAATACTTGTTTTACTTACATGTTGAATACCTTCCTCATTGCATAAATAGTTATGAATTTTTTCCCAATATGGCATTAAGTGGAAAGAGTATTTATCTGGGTTTTTATTTTTACTCTGGCATACAAAATTCTATTTGTTACTTCTAAGAAAATTTTTAACATTTATGCAGTTTGGTGGGGTTAAAATTTCATTTTGTTTTACTGATGTTGGTTATTGTGAACCATATGAATAACACCAACTAGCTTAATAGTTGGAAGATATCTTGATCCATTGAAACATTTAAAAAAATGTGCTCCTTTGCTTTTTCATTTGAAATTATAATAAACATGTTGGTTTTGCTTTTCTTTGGATCAACATGTTTTGGTTTATTGAAATGGAAAGATGAATGAATAGATTGTTGTAGTTAGCAATTTGTTTCCATCACCTTAGTTCATTGTGAATATCATATTTCATGTTGAATTTGATGTTATTTTAAGTTAATTTTTATGAGGGAATTTTTAACTTCATATGTAAATCATAACTTTGTGTCTCATTTAAGATAGGATTTTAACATTTCTCTACTGAATAACAATTAGTTACTTGTTTAAGATATTTGATCATGTAACTGGTTTGTAATTGAGGTGTATTAGCTCATTTGTTGTTTGCTTCGTGAAAGAAATTCTGCTGGAGGTTTTGGTTGTTAGTGTTTCATTGAGATTTATATTTCTAAAACATAATGAGCATCATTGTTAATTTAATGGTATGTTAATCTTTTTCTAACAGTTATAGATTGTTTCAGTTACCTTTTATTTTATAGGGTTGTTTTTTTTTTTTAAGGCTTTTGAAAAAGCTTACATAAATCACTTTGCAGTCTTTTAAAAGTAGCTTCATTTCTCTTATTTAGTGCAAGGCAGCATCATTTTCATATTTTAGCCTCTCTAAATTAAATTTTTGTTGTCTGTACTTTTGTATTCTGTGACTTTAGTTTTCTTCATCCATTAACTAATGCCAGCAGTCAAAGGTAACTGATTTTTATTAAAGGATATTATAATGGTTCACTCCACATGAATTTTTTTTTAATGGTTTTACCTGTTAATACCAAATCGCCAGCAGTTTCCCTTTAATTAATCTTTGTTCCTAGCTGATTGTTGATATGAGAATTTGACTGTATATTTTATTTAGTAATAGTAAACTTCATGCCATCACCACACTAATTGTATATTTTAGATATACATAGCTACTTTGTGTTCATTTTTGTTAATGGATGGCACTGTACTCTTTTTTTTTGGCATCTCCGGAAAGTTAGGATTACCATTTGTTTGACTTGGGGTGGCTTTGAGTTTGGAAATATTTCACTTAGAACACATGCAGAGTGGTTGGTGTCATTCATACAGAAATTTTACTATATTTATAGTTCAATCAAATTTTTAGCACATGAAATTGAATTTTAAATTTTTTTTTTATTGTGCTGTCAGTGTTAATTGTCAATTTAATGTAATGAATTTTGTTTGGTGCACTTTGGGGATTTTTATGTACTAATTTTTATAGTAAATTTTAAGTTCTGTATGTGAACATTATGTACAAGTATAAGACCTATAGTTTGATGATTTTTTATATCAGATGGTTTCCCCATTATCGCTTCCATTGAAAAAAAATTACATCTCCATTTTTCAATGGTATGTCATCCTTTCTGCTTTCATAATAAAGTATGTTGTAACATATTCATATTAATGCATTTCCTACTTTCTTTTTTTTTAAGTTAATATAGTTAAAAACTATTACCGAGTAACCCAAGTAAAACATTGTAGGTGGACTATTAATTGGTTTGTTGATTAGTTTAATTGAATCATTATTGGTAGGTTTATGGTGGTACTATTGCCAAACTTGGTTGTTAATGGATTTGTTGGCACTTGAATTTATACTTGAAGTATTTTTATATATTCTATGCACTAAAAAATACTGTTAGATAATTTACCACTTAGACTGTTAGGTTATATTGTGTTCAGTTTTTTTCCTGGCTGACTTTACTCCCCAAGTACTAATCAGAGGACTCGGCTGTGAAGTCAGGTCCAGTAATAATAGTACTTGACGGTGGCCAGTTAGGTGCTGTAACATGCATGAAGCTATAAGTACATGGCTGGGTTTTTTTTTTAAAGTGTGTTTTGCTGCTATTCTGTCTTCAAAAATAAGTTACAAGGTACAAAATTTAGAAACCTAATTTACCTGTTAAAATTAATTGCTGGCAGTTAGTTACTAAATGGTATGTAATGCACTACTATGTGTACTAACATTACAAGTATACAACTTAAAAACAAGTGAATATGAATATTTGGACTAGATCTAGATGAAAATGATTTTCTGTATTCTTTTAATTTGGTTTCCAAAGAACCAGCAGACCATGTGTACATTCACACCCAACCTACAATTTACTAAGCAAATAATTTGAATTTACTGTAATTAAATTTCAACAGTAGCATAGTGTGAGGTGAATTAAAATGAGATTCATGCTGGTTTCATAAGTATTGATGAACTGGTAGGGGTCGGCGTGGTCGAGTCTGTAAAGCTCATGGTTGCAAAACCAAAAAGTCTCGAGTTCAAACCCTCGGGCAGATGAGGCTCGTTAGCTGGGGACAGCCACTCTTCTAGGATAGACAACTCCAAAATTAAACAACTGCTTACTTGTAGTTTGTTCTTGGTTGGACAAAGGCTATGGAAGCAAATCCAAAAAGAAAAGCAGGCTGAAATCTGAGTCAATGGCGCATAACAAATTGACACGTAACGCTTGTGTTGGAGGCGTGGTCGAGTCGGCAAAAAGCTCATGGTTGATAAATTTGAACAGTCTCGAGTTCAAACGCACTGGCAGATAATTCTCGATCCCCTTCAACACTAATAATTAAAAGAACGAAGAAGATGAACTGGTGGTCAGTTTTATTTTTTTTAAATATATCTCATCTACCAGTGGCATGTCACAGGGGTCCAGGTAGAGGGTCAGAGCAGTCATCTCAGCTACGCTCAAGTGAAGAGAGGCAATTTCATCAGAACTTTTTAATAATTATGAAACTGAATTGTAAATAGTTGAGTAGAAAATAAACCGGGAGTGATCTCCCCTAAACTTTCTCGAATATTCTTATATAAAATAACGGGGGATGGAAACTCGGGCTATAGACATGATTTTTAATCCATTTTAAATACTTAAAGTTTTAAAAATAGAATAAAATCTCGTAGACAAATTAATTGCACACCAAGTGAACGCGAAATAAAAAAGCGCATAATAGTGCGCAATATTATTAGTACTTTAAAAATTTACATTAGTTTTTTGAGAAATCGGAAGTAGCGTAAATTACTACTTCCGGTCAACGGAAATTACTCAAAATTTAACAGAAGGTAGAGAATTAGATCTTTTACTTACATGTGAAATTTCATTTATCTATCTGAAATAGTACTCAAGTTATAGGCTTTTGAAAAATTCAAAGTAGAAAAAGTACCACTTCCGGTTATCGGAAATCGCTCAAAAGTTGATACGGATCTACGATTTTGATAAAATACTTATATATGAAATTTCATCAACCTAGCAGTAACGGTACTCAAGTTATCGTGTTTACACACGGACACACACACACACACACAGACATACGGACAAGATTGCAAAATTATGTTTTTCCGTATCAGTGAGATGCAAAACGTCGAGATTTGCAAAAATCTCGATTTTTTTTTTTTGCACGATTACAAGACTTTCTCTATACTTCGTATATACGAGAAATTAAAAAACATTGCTTGAGAGTAATGAGAGTTAGGGGACCAACTGGGTCCCTCATATGCATCGACTGCACACCACTGGCACCTACGGTTGATTTTATTCAAAGAAAGTAAGAACAAATATTAAAATAAACAGGAAAGCATGCAGTACATTCACCACTTGTTGAATAGACCTATGCAACACCAAAACTGTTTCTGAATTAGTCTTTTATTTAATTTTACACAAACAGTAGCTTAGCTTACCCACACACAAAAAACTAAATACACCACCGGCTTCAGTCATTTTAGGGTACAAACTATCACAGTCATTTTAAATAAAATTAAGCATTATATGCTTTCTGATAAAAATAAATCCTGACAATCTTTAAAAATCTGAGCATACATTACAATAAACTACATTCTATTTACTAGTGTAAATACAATTAAGAAAAGAAATATTAACACACCCAATTTAAAAAGTTACTCCACTTCAAAGCAAGTTAAACATTGCAATGAACCAAATTAAATAAAGATTACTTTTCAGAACAATGAATAAATGTATAATAATATAAATTATAAATCCTTTTTTTTAAGTAGAGAATAGTGTAATAATGGATTTCATTGTTATTTTAATGAAAACAATTTAATTTTTTTATTTTAAAATCATCCCAGTGTACAAACATGAAGTATAATTATTAATAATAATTATACAGTGAAATTTGATTGTTTTGTTAAATATCATGGTAAATAAAAGTAACAATCCTGAAAAATATATTACAATTTTGTGTCAGTCACAGCCCTTCCACTAGATCTCACACCATGCCGAGCCAGCTGTGGTGGATCAAACAAATTCAGGTAACCACTGGGCCGCTCAACTTCATGACTGCTTCCCCGGCTACTGCCTTGTGTGATGACTTCACCATCCACAAGGCCACTTGATCCACTTGCTGCCCCATTGTCAATGCTATGTCTGACCCCTGTCCAATTCAATGATGCAGAACCACTGTGATGTGACCTTGCTACTGCAATATGAATACACTGCACCCACTGTTCAACATTGTGTTGACCTTTAGCCTTGAACTTGTATGTTTGATCTCCTGTGAATATTTCAAAAGCCTTGGGAGTGTCTCGGATTCCTTTCCTTACAGCTTTCACGCTTTGTATTTTGGTAACTGGTAAGGTTGCTTTAGTCTAATAGTTTAAAAAAAAGTTAATATTAGAAGCTTTCAGATAAATTTAGTTTATCTGGAAGGTACAGAACAATACCTACAGCATTGCTCTTGTTGTATGTGATAGATCCTCCAGATAATGTAAAGTATCTTGTTTTCCAGCGTTTAAAAAACATCCATTTTCCTTTTTTCTCTTTCAATTGTCCCTAGATAATAAAGTTCAATGGATCATTTTATTAATAATATAATAAGTAAAAGAGTAAATGACAATTAATTTAACGTTTATAGAAATATTAATGGTCTTCTCAAATCAGCACTGATATTAAAAGCTTTAGACTAGAGCAGATGAGCTAAGCAATTTGTGCCTAGACCAAACTTTTAAAACAGATTTTTCTTCAGCAATGTTGTGCTTTATTATTAAATGATATCTGGAAGCTCTTTATAGTTGTATTGGTTGCATACACGTAAAACTTATGATTTTTTAAAGTCTATTTAAAAACCAGCTTTTCTATTTATAGTTGTACATAAATTTTGTTGGCAGCCTACTACAGATCATAAAAATATTTTAAGTATACTGTACCGCAATTTCTGGGCAACCATCATTCAGCAGCTCAGACAGTTTTTCTGGGTGGTTGCAAACAAAACATGCCCAGTGGGCTCGGATGGCATTCAGTTCAAATATATCAAAGTATCTCATTTGGTGCAACTCTTGCAGCAATGCCAACTGGTCCTACATTTTGAAATCAGTAATGATCAGTTGATTTACAAAGTACAATTATTTTTTTTACAATAAACTAAAATAAAAGATATTTCAACTGTATAGTCAATTATACTTGAGCTACAAGGGAAGAAATGTGAGGTCATTGCTGATTATAAATATTGTACAAAAAATCCATTTATGACACAAAAAAGGGATTTTCCCCATTCGTTTTTGGTACTAATCATTTAGGCATTTAGTGGCGACCTATTCTGATTAGTTTTTTAAAAAAATGAAGAAAAAATTGTAAATATTGTTATGCACAATAAATTTTTTTTTACAGTATTTAGTTTTTTTAACCTATTGTATTTACATTTTTTTATGTATCATATCAATAGAGGAAATACTTTTTTTTTTTTACCCAGCAGTTTTTTTTTTGTTAAAAAAAATTTGCATTGAAATGTTACAGATATTAGAAGCACAAAACCTCGCTACACAGATTCTAAGAAATAGATCTATAACAATTGTAAAATACTTGTAACCATAGTAACTGTCCTCTAGCTACTTAGATAATTTACAAAAAATAAAAAAGATCTATTTTAGCAGTGACCTTTTGTGTAGGAAAGCTAGAGGTAACCAAAGCTAAGAAGCTGCTAGTTGTTTCCCCTTTCAGTGCATCCCAACAAGACTTGAGACAGCTCACATCAGCATCCCTTTGACTTAAGGCATACTTTGAACGGGCCTGAAGTGATATAAGAAAGAAGAAATTAATAAAACTGGAAAGTCACATCGATTTGATTTTATAATTTAAAAAACAATTATTTTTTTTTAGAAACAAAATGTAAACATAAACAATGTAATGAGGCTAGATATTTCTGCCTGAATAGATGATACCTTGAGATATTTATTAGTAAGTGGCTAAACAATTTTGTCTAAATAAATCATAGCCTTAGATACTTATAAGGGCGATGAACTTATAATTTTAACCATGTCCTAATGTACAGATTTTCAAAAAGAGAAACATTATGCATTCACTAATATAGGAGTATTCTGTACAATGTAAGCCCTCTGCATCAGTAATGCTTTTATATTTTTTTTCCCTAAATAAAAGTTGCTTTAAATATTAAATTATTTTCAGAAAAAAAATAGAATACCCTTATCTTTAGTTGCTTGTATGGCAAAAAATGTAAATAAAAACTAATGCTGTTTTGAAACTTATGAACCCTGAATATCAGTTTATAAAGGGTTAAAACATAAAAATAGAATTAAACAAGCACTGACCTGCACAGAGAGAAACATAAGATGCACCCAGAGCTTTGGGAAGCGGGTATTCAGCATAAAATGAGATCCACTGTACAAGCACTGCTGTGACTGATTGGCACACTCAAAGTGGAGTTTGAGATATCTCTTGTGTTTGCCCTCTAAATAATATACAAGGTTTTTATTTAAACCAGGAACAAACAAAAAAAATACACTTAAGTACATGCATCATTTTGTTTACATATTTTTTATATAAAAATAGTGGAAAATTTGCCTTGCTATTTAACTTTAATTATCATTCTAGAGAAGAATTCAGTAAGATTTAAAGTAATAAAGTGCACCAATGCTGGATTTAGAAGTATCTTTGAACAAGGTTAATAGATATTCAATTTATTTACTTAATTAAAAATGTACATTATTACTTACTGACAACACTACATCTAGCAGGTAAAGGAATGGTGGCGTTAAGCTTATTAATAAAGCTCTTAATTTTAGTAAAGTGCTTTTCACAGAACAGTTGAACTCCATCTCGCATAGTGTCTGACTGTAAAATATTTTAAAAGCATTATGGAATAATTGCTTATTTTTAAGATAATTTTATAAAAAGAAGGCTTGAAAATGCTTAAAACATCAATACCATAATCAACTAAATTTATTGATACAGTACTTTTTTTTTTACAACTAACTAATATGGAACAATTAACTTCTAACAGGCCTGAGAAAATACAGATGATAATATTATTTGGGATCAAAATGTTTTTTTTTATAAAAAAAATGTTTTAATTGTACACATTCATGCCTACTTCTATCATAAGTTTGCAAATTCCAATATTTTAAGTCTTTTAAACCAAACAAAACATTTAAAGTTAACTACAAGTCAAGTAGCCTACAAAAGCCAGTGATGCAGCTTACACTTCCAATTCTCTCTGTGGAAGTTCCAACACTATTGAAGGAGTTGCCATCTGGTGTTTGTCTGTGTGATGGGCTGTTGGAGTGGTCAGCTGATGATATTCGGCTGAAATATATATATATATATATATATATATATATATATATATATATATATATATATATATATATATATATATATATATATATAGGTATATAGATATATATATATATATAGGGATTTAGATATAGATAGATATATAGATATAGATAGATATATATAGAGGCACTCTTCTATAAACTGAGGGCACATTTTCTTAGCCTAGAGGCACTCTTCCATATACCGAGAGTATATTTTCTTACCCTAGAGGCACTCTTCCATACACTGAGGGCACATTTTCTTAGCCCAGAGACACTCTTCTATACACTGAGGGCACACTTTCTTAGCCCAGAGGCACTCTTCCATACACTGAGAGCAAATTTTCTTACACCAGAGGCACTCTTCCATACACTGAGGGCACATTTTCTTACACCAGAGGCACTCTTCCATACACTGAGGGCACATTTTCTTACCTTGAGAGTTTAGCCAAACTCTGCTGGCTGGATGCCCCACTGGGGGGTAGAGTTGTATTTTTGACAGACACTGTTCCACTGGGTAGACTGGTGTTTGGGGGATTCCCTACTGTTATTATTGTGACAGTACCCTCCGTTTGACTTGAGACAGATCGAACTTCCTTTGGTTTTTCTCTGGTTGTATCAATTTGAGTGGGTTTGGAATGTGTTGTTGATTGATCATTAGAAGCTGCCAGATTTTTGTTGGCAGCTGCAGCATTGCTGGAACAATTAAATACAGAAAATTGGGTGAAGATGCAATGTTTATTTTTCTCTGTATTGTGTACTCTTTTCATTAAAAAGCTTTCCTTTTTTTTTAAAGAAAGGTTTAAATTAGAACTCAACATATGAAAAGCTCTCAAGCTAAAATCTGATTCTCTACTCACCCCCCTCCCCCACTCCACCCTCCACTCCCAATATAAAATTTAAACACTGACTAAGGTTCAGAGAGAATTTAATAACATCCTGCATAGCCTGATCATACACTGTTTAACAACATATTTTAAAAGAAATAATTTTTTTTTAACTTATTAACCTTTTATGTGAACTTAGTAATAACAAGCATTATCTTTAATTTGCTGCACCATGAGAATTATGTGAACTTACTGTTTGCGCAGATCATCCCTGATTTGCTGCACCATGAAAATTATGTGAACTTACTGTTTGCGCACATCATCCCTGATTTGCTGCACCATGAAAATTATGTGAACTTACTGTTTGCGCACATCATCTCTGATTTGCTGCACCATGAAAATTATGTGAACTTACTGTTTGCGCACATCATCCCTGATTTGCTGCACCATGAGACGAACAGAGCTTGAGCCTGAGGTGGAGAGTTTGGATATTTTATCCATGTTCTCTGACAGCAAGCTGTGATTGGTCAGGCTCAGTCCTCGGATTTCTTGTAGGACAGCAGGTAAAATAGAAGGATCCATCCCTCCTAACTTGCCAACAAGGTAGTCCATGGACTTCTTGGCTTGATCCTTCATAAAGAATTACAATATCTAGACACTGGCCACAATGGGGGATTATGAAATGAATGAACTTTCTTCACAAAACTTGTATATTCTGGGCAAAATTATTTTTTTAATAACATTATTTTATCACTATGTGGGAGAAAAAATGCCAAATATTTCAAATTCACCCACAGACTAAAAGAATAATTTACCGACAATTTACTAAGGTTACTAAAAAACATGAGCTGATAGAAGATTTCATAAAATCCAAATTTCTTTAAAATTTCTTTAAACAATTATTTTCCTTAAGTTATAATAAATAAAATCCATAGGGCAGATGTAGTAGAGTTCACAAGTCAGCACTATGCCCAGCCATGGTTACTTTCCATAACATGAGTCAGGTACCCATTGGAGCTGGATGGACTCAGGTGACATCCGAACTCAAGACCTTCTGGTTAGCAGTCAAGCGCTCTTTCACTTGACCACACCGTCCCATTTAGTACTATTACTTAAAACAAAAAAGATAATCAACACCGCCAACAATGTTCCCTCTAAGCTGCGCAGATTTGAACTGCCGCGCAGTGATTTTGTTAAAAAAATATATCGTTGTATAAGACTTTTAGAACAGCGCGCACAGTAAATACATTCTGCTCACTAGCTTTTCCTCCTTAGAGGGAACATTGACCGCCAAGTATGCTTAATTTAACATCACACAACATGGTTTTCAATTCTTCCATCTTACTTGACTGATGGTGCCCACTGCCCCTGTGATCTGTGCCACCTGATACATGAGCACAGGCTGTGTGTCCACCATACCCTGGATGACACCCAGGTGCTCCACTACAGCCTCTGGTCTAGCCACAGCCATATCCACCAAGATCATGATAACCATGCAGGACAGCAGCGAAGATGTGAGGTACGTGCACAGGGTTGGGATGTGTTTCTCCAAAAGCTGTTCAAGGATACAACATACTTGCCCAATATTAAAGGATAAAAAAAATTCTGCCCAATAAAGGCTGCTTGTATCTATTCTACAGAAAGAAAACTAAAAACTCTAACCACTAAAGGTTTTATGAAAGGAAGCTAAAAATTCAGCTGTTTATCTCAGCTCTACAAAACAAAAAATTCTGCCTGAAATACTAAAAAGAAAAATTTATTTAAATTGTACAACTTTGCAATTAATAAAATAGCCATTATAATTAATTACAATTACTGTAAATGTTGTATACCTCTGGGTGTGCTTTGACCACTTTACTAAACAACTGAAGCAGGCAAACTTTCTCAGTGGAGTCACACTTGGTCATCAGCGAGGCTATATCGTCCACATGCTGTAACACAGGCTGGGGGTTCTGTTCATAGATCTGAGGCAGGACTTGTCCAAGTAGATAATTGCCTGCAGAAAGTTGACCAAAGTTTCATTAAATTTAGAGCTAAAATTTGAACAAGTAGATAATTAAATAGCATTTATCAAAAGTATTTTAGAATAACATCTAAATAACAAACCTTTGAGGACACTGGTCAAAACAAGCTGCATGTGCTGTGCTAGTAGACTCGCATTGTCAATAGCTGCTAAAGAAAGGTAGCTAGCAACACTTCGCACTAGATCTTTATTCTCACACTCAAGAAACTTAACGGCACATGGTATAGCCAAAGTCATTACTTTGTTATTGGTATAATACTGAAAAAAAAGTAGAATCGGAAAGTGAGTACCCCTTTCTTAGAAAAATATTTTAAGATTTATCTCAAAAAGAAAACCATAACGAATAACAAATAGTCCTTAAAATGAAGTTTAATATAAAATGTAATGTAAGCAAACAACATAAAAAAATTAAATCATAAAAGATGTTAACTTACAGTAAACAGTCGACTCATGATGTCAGAAGCAATCTTGGCATGTGGAGGGTCAACATCTTTTGATTTTTGCATGAGGTTGTGTTTCAGACACATTGCAAGGAGACTAACTAGATGTTCAGCATGCTTTTCTATTCTCCCAGTCTCTCTGTTTCAACACAAGACATTTTAAACAACATGTTTATATAAAAATATACCCAGAAAACACTTTTAAACTAAATACAGGTAAAAAGTTCACCTGATAGCTGTTGTGATTCTAGTTATACAGATCTCCACCACACTTTGATCATTATCATTTGTTTCATATTCTTCAGTGTCAGCAATCAGTTGAATATGGTGGATGATTTCTCCAAGGTCTATCTCAATTACATCATCCTCCAGAGAAAAAAGCTCTCCAGCTTTGGACAAATCCTTTCTGGAAAGGACTTGAGCAAAAAGATCATGCATGGTTGCAGACTGAAAAAAAATGAACAAAACAAATAAAGTTTATTTGTTACTATATTAACTAGGAATAAGGGGAATAATTATAAAATATAATATCTGTAGCAGCTGTCCTGACGTAGATTTATGAGCCTTCTACAAACATGAAGACGATAACTGTAATGAACTAATTAATGTGATGTGAGGTATGTGTTCTGAAGAGAAATGAGTTATTAGCTTGTTATCTCCCTGTGCTTATATCCTTTGCTATTACCATTCAGTCCCAGTGTGCTTATTTTCATGAGTGTAAGTAATGTTTGTGTAAAATATAATATGATATGTTACACTCCTAAGGGTTAGAGTCACCCTGCAATTTGACGCCTCAGGATATCCCTTTAGCGCTACGATGCATACGTTTGTTTTAAAGATTGTGATAGAATATGGATAAGAAGTAGTATTAAAGTCGTTCACTAAGGGGTCGTCCATAAATGACGTTACACTCGTAGGGGGAGGGGGGGTTCGTAATGAAATTTTGTGATGGTGTGTGATGAGGGGTGACGATCTATCCGGGTCGATTCTAAATATCATCCATCTATATATATTATATAATATTAATAAAGTTCATAGATTATAATCTAAAACTTCAAACTAAATCTAGATTCTAGATCTAATTATTTCAATTAGGGGCCCTAATAAATAATTTAATAATTTATTTAGGCCTATTATTTAAAAGTTTAAATTAAAAGTTAGGCTATGACATGAAACGACACAAACGTAATTGCCTAATTAGTAATTAATTGCTAGATCTAGATCTAGTGTATTACTACTAGTCTACTACTAGTAATTAGTAATTACAAAATTGATTTTCCAAGCAGTTTCTTTCTAATCCACACAAGTAGAAAATAGATCTAGATCTAGACCTAGTCTCGAAATCTAGATCTAGATTCTAGTCTAAATCTAGATCTAGATTCTCTAGAAGTAGTCTAGTACACAAGTAGTAGATCTAGTCATCCCACTAGTCCTGAGTAAACATTCATCAGGCTGAAAGCTATAAATAAATACCACAAATCCAATTATTAGTTTTTCGCATACTTTCTGATTATCTTTTAAATTTAAATACAGTCAAACTTTACATGACACTTTTGTAATACTATGAGCTCTGATTTAAAGACTATAATAATATATAGTTAGTCAATATAGTAATACAGATCGTAAAATAAAATATCAGAATAAATGCGTTTAAAAGCACATTTTTTTTCCAAAATATCAGTGAAAATAGATTAAAGCGAAAAAGTATAGATTCTAGCTATTAACCCGGAAATTATTGTTAACTAGTTGGAGAAACATGGCGGACCACGTAAATACGGCTTTCAAAGCTTTTAAGCAAGGTTTAGAAAATGCGGATCCTTCTGTTTTGGGAGTTGTAATAGCTTTATTTGTTGGATTAATAACAATAGGTACCGTTCAATTCTTCTTTTTTTCTTTAATTTCACTAAGTAGCTTAAATGATGAAGCATTTTATTGTGTAGCATATTGATATGCAGCCGCAGTCCACCAGCTGATGGGATTCATCCGGCAGTAGCATCGGGTCATCATAGAATAAAATTAGTCATAAATTAACTTACTATACGTAACTATAGGGATAGGCCGAGGCCTTCTAATTAATTAGCTACTAACATACTACTTAGCTACTAGCTAGACTAGTACTAGATTCTAATCTAGATCTTTAATTTCGAACTTGCGAGGATGATTCAGTTTACCTGTTTCTGTTACCAGACATGAGTTAGTACAGTCACAGCAGGCAGCAGTGACTACACCTTTCTCTCTTTTTTAAAGTCTTTTTTGCAACGTCTTCTAGATCTATATATATTCTATATTGCATGTACACATTTACTGCACACATTTCATGGCAATGACTCTGCACAGTCATGCTACACATTACTACACATAACATCATTTGCCATCAACATCATTCGGCCCAAACAACATTGAACATAACAGTGTTGCTGTAAAAATTGTGTAGATATCTGATAGTCTATCATGGGTGATATCAGGTAAACTGAAACAAAAATGTGGCAAGAATAGCACTTCTCGCTTTTTACTGCTTCCCCTTCTGAGTTTCACATTTCTAATTTTATTAGCGCTCTTTCTTTAGACCTGGTAGTTGCAAATAACATACTTTCTTATTAACTAGATCTATAACTGCTAACTACTGACATTATTATGAGTAAAGATGAAAATTATATTTATTGACCATATTTAATAATTATTTCAGTTATATTAATTGTTAGAAGCAGCAGTAAAAATAAAAGACAAGGAGTCTTACTTCTAGGTATTTGTGATGCTGGAAAAACAGTATTATTTTTACAGGTAAACATTTTAATAATTAGGCTAATTTACATTTTTTAAATTCCAAAACCAATGAGCAATGGTTGGCATTGTTTATTATTCTAAATTCATTCTAAGTTTCCAACTTCTGGATCAAAGCAATTTGAACTTTTAAATAGTCATTTGATTTATTATAATCAAACATTAAAAAGTAAATTTCTAAATATTTAATAGGCTTAAATACACTAAAAACATAATTTTTATTTTACAGCTGGTACATAAGGCTTATAAACAAACCTACACTTCTATGCAAGCTAATTCTGGGGAATATTTTGTGTCAGAAAAAAAAGTGAGTATGGTTTTAAAAAGTGTAGCCCTAATATATTTTTTAAACTCTGATCATAAAATTTGAGAGGTTTATTTTGTGTTTGACAATTTTAAAAGATTTCAGTGATGTTATTAAGAAAGAAAAAAATTACTTTTGAATTCATCACAAATTATAGAAAAAGCTCAGGGTTATTGACTTGCCTGGAAATGAAAGACAACGTGGTCAGTGCTTGGAGGAATATAAAAGTCTTGCCAGGTGAATTTTCTTTGTCATTTAATTTGTTGTATTTGTCTCTATAGTCTATAGTCTAATTCAAGGTAAACAGGGTTTCTTTCTAATATTTTAAGTAGAAGAGAAATGCTTGCATTTTCTAATGTTTTGTTTTTACAAACATTTCTCTTTTTTTATTGTTCAAAGTAGTTTGAATTTTTGTTTAGTTTTTGTAATAAAATGTACATTTATTCTTCAAGGGCTGTTGTGTTTGTGATTGACAGTGCTACTCTTCAAAAGGAAATCAAAGAAGTTGCTGAGTATGTTGTACTTTGTATTTATAGTACTAATTTATATAGTATGAAACTAAACTATAAATTAATATTTTGATTGCAAAATCCAGTACGTATTTTACTGATTGTATTTTTTATTATGTAGGGTCTGAAATTTTTTTATTTAAGTATAGAAAATTCTAAAATTCCTACTTTTAAAAAACATTACACTTCCTGTTTCTTATGATTTGTTGATTTGAAATTTCAGGTACTTGTATACAGTACTCAGTGATAGAGTAATTTCTAACAATGCACCTCCTGTGTTAATTCTGTGCAACAAGCAAGACCTTACTTTATCTAAAGGAGTTAAAGTTATTCGCAGTCAGCTTGAAAAAGAAATGTAGGTTTAATTTAGTTTGAAAGTTGCTTTTTTTTTCTAAATTTTTATCTCACATGTGACTTTGTTGTGGGGTTGTTTTTTTTTTTTTTTGGAGGGGGTTGTACTAGACATAAGAAGACAAGGTCTGGAAATTAAGTATGTAATAGATGCATTTATTTTCATTAACATGACAGACCTATAAAATTTAAAAAAAAAATGTTTATGTTTAAAATGTAATTAAATGATAATGCACAAATATAGTACTTTTGAGGTTGGTTTGTCATTTTTTACATAACACTGCCTTTGATTTATTTATTTTAAAAAATCTCTGCTATTGAATATGGTTAATAGGCTTGTACACAAGATTCTAATTAAGATGTAAAGAGCAATATTTCTCTAAAAATAACAATTTATATCTCATCTATTTCTTTTCTAAATTAATTAAATTTCTATATTTAGAGCAGTAGTTTATTTTTAAAAACTTTATTTGTAGTACCAAATAGTGGCATTCTATTTTATGGGAATGGGATCCTAAATTTTTTGAATATGGTGTAATGAGATATGCTGTTAGTGGAAAGGTGATATAACATTGAGTAGGGTAGTGGGTGGATCAATCAATTATGTGCACAATCCTTTAAACATGTTTCTTAAAACAGTAGAATGTACTGTGTATTTTATTGTTATAAACTATTTCATAAGCAAAGTGTAAGTTACCTTAGATGAGTGCATGTTAGTATTTACCAACTGTCATATTTATTTTGATACAAGAATTGTGATTTTGCAGGAACACTTTGAGACTAACCAGAGCAGCGGCCCTCCAAGGTGTGGGTGATACCGGCAACAATAACTCATTCCTTGGTAAAAGGGACAAGGACTTTGATTTCTCAGACTTGAAACCGCTCAAGGTTGATTTTGCAGAGTGCAGTGCTTTAGGGAAGGACAGTAATGAAAACAAAGCTGATCTGGATGAACTTAATAACTGGCTAGCAAAAGTAGCATAACAATAACGAGTGTTGTGGTGAATGATATTTTGTTGTGGGATTTGCAAGTTATATTATTGATACTTTAATATGTTCTAAGTCAAATAAAAATTGCATCTTCAGGTGGATCTTCAATTATTCTATTAATTTTAATAAAATTAATTAAAATTTGATTTGTGATAATATATGAATATTAATTTAGTACTAGAAAAATGCATGATAGAAATTGTATGTTACAATTTTGCAAGTCGTATCAAGTCTTCAATGAAAACAAATATTTGTGTAACTGTTACTTGATATTATTTCAGCTGTGTTATTAAATGTTGTAGAATAAGTCAATTTAGTCATTCTACTTTCATCATAGCATGTTTAAAAGAAATTTACTTTCATCGAAGCACATGTTTTTTTTTTTTTTGTGAGAATCAATGTATAAGGATATTTCAATATCATTTTGGTGATGGATGAACTGATTTCTGAATAAATTTCTTTTTTGAGAACTAACATCATTAGACCTGTTTGACTTCAGTTTTTATTTGCATAGCAAAATATTTGGTCTTTATGGAAGTGGAAATATTTACAAACAGGTTAATGTGAAATTCAACATTTCATAACTAAAACAATTTGCATACTACTGGTTAAAAAATATGGATTCTGGAATTTTCCATACTTTTAATCTGGAAACTTTTAAACCTAAAAAAATGTTATATTTCAATATGACTGAAAGCCTTTTTCTAGATTCTCTAAAAATGAGATTTTTATTCACAAGACCTACATTTTCTGGTGGTTAAGAAAAAAATGTAGTTATTCTTTGTGTGCAGTATGATATTACATGAATTAACCAATTAAAGCACAAACTGAAAACAAATGAGAAACAGACAGTCTTCAGTCTGACAGGGACAAACCTTGAATCATAGGTTACTTTGCCTAGATAGCATGGCCTAGCAGTAGAGCGCCTGTACTGCTAGCCCAAAAGTTTTGAATCCGTGTTCAAGTCAGTAGAACGTCCCTTAGTCCACCCAGCTCTGATGAGTTTCTAAAACATTGGGGAAATTAAAGGCGGCTGGCCATAATGCTGATCACATTATCCCTTCATATGCAGAGGTCACAGAAACAGGTGAACTCTACTTCACTTGCCCCCCACGGACCGTCAGGTTAAAAAATGGAACTTTACATTTCCTCAGATATCTCGTGTACAAGCCTGTTTGTTGACTTCAGAAAGGTATTTGATAGAGTAAGGCAGGGTGCACTTCGGAAACATGAGGAGATCATTAATTACAATCTACCTAAAATAATTTAAACATAAATCACATTTTTCTTTGGTCTAAGTGGACCGTTAGGGCGTCACTAGTGTCCTTTTGATCACCTTCCTATGATTTACCAAGTTACAAACACAGGCTGGGAGTCTGCTTTACCCTACTTTTTTTATATCTTAGTGGAAAGAATCATAATATGGGCCCATAGTCGATTGGATAATTGCGCATTAGAAATCTAAACACAAAGCCTGACTAGTAAGACGAGAAGAGCCAGATGTTGCCCATGTATCAGGCCCGGAGTTTCTTCCAGGCATCTTCCCCCCCCCCCCTGGTAAATTTAGTACGCCCCCCCCCCCCAAAAAAAAAGCAAAAAAAAATTCAAGTGCCCCTCCGGAGAAAAAAGTCTGGAAGAAACACTAATCAGGCCCCTTATATCCACACGGCTGATGGGCCCAAGGGACAGGACGTTACATTAGAGCTTGGAATCAGAAGTGTCGCAGGAGCTGCCATAAGGAAGCCAGGGTTGGTAACAGAGGCGTTGCGAGGGGGGGGGGGGACATATGTCCCCGGGCGCCGACCTTAGGGGGGGGGGGGCGCCAAATTGAAAGTTTGAGGGGGGTGCAAATGAAAAGTTCGTGGGGGGGGGGGTGCAAATCGAAAGTTTGTGGGGGGTTCAAATGAAAAGTTCGAGGAGGGGGTGCAAATCGAAAGTTTGTCCCTGGGCGCCGGGAAGGGTCGCTACGCCTCTGATACGGCTGATGGGCCCAAGGGACAGAACATTACAATAGAGCTTGGAATCAGAAGTGTCGCAGTAGCTGCCATAAGGAAGCCAGGGTTGGTAATCCTATCGTCTAAGAGGGGCTCCATTCCTAGTTGATTTCGGAGTTTTCTCTCTCTAGATGGGTTGCTGTCCCCAGCTGACGAGCCTCGCCAATGCCTTAAACACCAAAGTTGACTGTTGTCGCCAACAAAACATTCACTTACCTAAGTTTTGTGGACGGCAGATGGCTAGGATGAAATGGAACTAGCGAACCTCAGAACATGCGGTGACAAGATCGGTGGCGTTCAGAGGCATAGCGACCCTTCCCGGCGCCCGGGGACAAACTTTCTATTTGCACCAACATTGCTTTTTCATAATGCGAAAAAAGTGACGTCACAGCATCTGAACCCAACGACACAACATTACGGACCCCCTCCCCCCTACGAGTGTGACGTCATTTATGGACGATCCCTAGCTATTCTTTTTTTTTCAATTTATTAAAGTTATATATAGTCTATTACTCACAGGGTGACATCGTCCGGGGGGGGGGGGGGGGGGGTCGACATCAAATTGCCTGTAGTTTTAGTATATTATATAAACCTATTCGTTGGCGAAGGAGGGTGACACACTGGGTCAGAGGCGTAGCGAGGGGGCGGGGGCGGGGGACACACATGTCCCCGGGCGCCGACCTTAGGGGGCGCCAAAATGGGTTGGAAAAATAAATTTTCGGGGGGGGGGGGGGCGGACACTGTTAAAAGCACATATTTTCTAAATAAATTCTATTTCGTACGGGGGGGGGGGTTAGACTTTCTTCGGGGGGCATCTCTTTCCCCGAAGAGATGCCTGAAAGAAACTCTGCCCACCCTCGCCACATATCTTCATAAAATTCCGTTAATTGATTTTTTTCAAGAGGCTGTGGATACCTGACAACATTACCTACAGTACAGTTACCGACGTAAGAAGCACGGACTACAAATCTAGTCCTGCACGCCAAACAGACGCAACATTTAGAAGTGTTTAATCAACGCGTAACCAATCGTGTATTTTTACTTTCTCGTATATACGAAGTATAGAGAAAGTCTTGTAATCGTGCAAAAAAAAAAATCGAGATTTTTACAAATCTCGACGTTTTACACCTCACTGATACGGAAAAACATAATTTTGCAAGCTTGTCCGTATGTCTGTGTGTCTGTCTGTGTGTCTGTCTGTGTGTCTGTCTGTCTGTCCGTGTGTAAACACGATAACTTGAGTACAGTTACAGCTAGGTTGATGAAATTTCATATATAAGTATTTTATCAAAATCGTAGATCCGTATCAACTTTTGAGCGATTTCCGATAACCGGAAGTGGTACTTTTCCTACTTTGAATTTTCAAAAGCCTATAACTTGAGTACTATTTCAGATAGATACATGAAATTTCACATGTAAGTAAAAGATCTAATTCTCTACCTTCTGTTAAATTTTGAGTAATTTCCGTTGACTGGAAGTAGTACTTTACGCTACTTCCGATTTCTCAAAAAACTAATGTAAATTTTAAAAGTACTAATAATATTGCGCACTATAATGCGCTTTTTTATTTGGCGTTCACATGGTGTGCAATTAATTTGTCTACGAGATTTTATTCTATTTTTACAAGCTTTTATTTAACTCGCTTCCTCTGTCGTCAGTCGTCAGTCTAGACGGAAACGCAGGAGCAGTAGCGTACGCAGGGGGGGAGCAGGGGGAGCGGCCGCTCCCCCTCTGGCCATTTTCAGCAAAGTGGCGCCTTTTTGGAAACTTTTTAAACTCAAAGTTTGAAACAATGATATTGTTAAAAAAATATATTTTTGGTCGGCACATCTATGTAAATCACGAGATTTCTTTTCATGCAGCAATTAAGCATTATTGCAATAGTCTAGTAGTGTCTACGTTTACAACACGTATTAACAGCTGCATCAGTTTGCCATTCTAAAGATAAGAATTACGATGCATTCAAATGTTTAAAAAACCTCTACGGGTAGTACCACTTGGCAAGATGGGTGTTAAGTTTAAGGCAACTGGATAATGTATTTGCTTTCGAATAATTGAATTAGAAAATGTTAAACATAAAACTTCACACATAATTACTTTATACATACAGTTTGAATCGTGTGATTAATTTTTAAAAAGATTACAATACAGAAACAAATACAACTGATGTGGCACCTCTATTTAAATTTACTTATGGGCGAAATGCGTTGCGGTGGGGAAATTTTGACAAGGTCAACAACGTCATCACGATGAAGTAGTAGTATTCTTACAGTTTGGGCGATAATGATTACGATTACAAATTATATGAAACAGTTACAACCCCCTCCCCCATGGACCCCTCTGTAAAAAATATTGTCATAATACCACTGCTACTTATTTAAATCTATTTCTGTAATATATATGTGTGTGTAATATATATGTATGTTTAGAACAGTCATCTAAGAACTGACGCTATTTTCACTCTGAGTTAGTTATCCCTCTCCCCCCCCCCCCCCCCGCCACACACCTCACCACCACAATTGTGTAGAGCGACATTAATGTCACACCATGGTATACACTGGGTTGGATAATTGACCTAAAGTGACCGGTCAGTGGTGAATGAAGTTAAACCCATCCCCTCCCCCCAAACCACCCCGAACTGATCTGTTAAGTACATGTAGAAAAACGTGTAATGATGTACCAAAGTACCATGTCGCCAGAAAATTAGCTTTTTAAACGTAAAACTCTGTGAATATTGTTTTTGCAATTACCAGTAAAAATGTGTGTGATCAATACAGTGATCTAACCCATACATATCACTATGTTAAAAAATGATCTTTAAAGAACACAAAGAAGCAGTAGTTAATTAAATATATATGATCTGAACTAAAAAGAACGATATTTAGTTAAATGTAGGCTGTTATTCCGAATGTTGTTCTTTTACATCGAAAAGCGTGGTTTTATACCAACTCTGATTTTAAGAACTTTCATTATGCTGTAATACTTTAGCATTTATGATGACGATATATTAAATTATGATTATAGACAAAAACATTTTGTAAACACAAATAGTGTTAAACAATTTCATTATATTCTAAAGTAATTATTTATTTGTTTTGACATTTATAATTAAATGTGTAGATATATACATATTTATATTAAGAGAGTGATTATTTCCCCTATTTCACTTGTCTTAAATAATTTCCCAGGAATTATTATGTAAGACATTTTTTTTACAAGAATTACAAAATAGATTGTGTTACGTTCATTGATTTTGGTTGTAGTCTGCGTATATTTTGTTTTGTTTAGATTGATACAATTTTTTGTTGTGTCGGCCTACATTGTGTTTTTTTTTCTTATTTCTTCAGAGTGCTACTTTCAATTTACTTTACATCATAGCGCAGTAATGACATACAGCTAGTAATTATATATATATATATATATATATATATATATATATATATATATATATATATATATATATATATATATATATATATTTATATATATATATATAATACACGTATATAGAACGTGTTAAAAATTCGGCGCCTTTTTTGCTCTTTTCGCTCCCCCTAAAACGAAAACCTGGATACGCCTCTGCGCAGGAGTGAAAATTCGGACAGTTCTACTTGACCGATACGATTCACAGTTGGCACGTGGGTCAAGACATGAAGACAATGCAATCTGAAACTAAATTTGACTTAATTGGATGCCTAATTAATTTTTTATGAATTAATTAAAATTTGGACCGAATTAGTAGGCATGTCTAGCCAACCACACCACACGCGTCATCACCTTCAATAGCTGCGCCATCACGTAATGGCTGCGTTCAAAAACCATTGCGCGCCTACTGAACGTGATGTTCAGTAGGCGCGCAATGGTTTTTAGTCATGTAACTCTATTGTAAATAAAACATGTAAAGTACTGAAAAAAAAATTCATAAAAAACGTTTTAATAACAAGCTTTTATGTAATGATGCACTAAAAAGTAGAAAATAAATTATAGACTACTATTTAAATAACTATAAAGAAAAGCGTGGGTGTCTTCCTTAACATTAGTAAAGGTATCCAATAGATACTAAAGTGACCCACGCTTTTCTTTATAGTTATTTAAATAGTAGTCTATAATTTATTTTCTACTTTTTAGTGCATCATTACATAAAAGCTTGTTATTAAAACGTTTTTTATGAATTTTTTTAAAAACTTTAAGTATTTAAAATGGATTAAAAATCATGTTTATAGCCCGAGTTCCCATCCCCTGTTATTTTATATAAGAATATTCGAGAAAGTTTAGGGGATATCACTCCCGGTTTATTTTAATTTAATGTGCGTGTGGCATTGTTTCTAGAACTCGCGTTATTTAATGTCGTTGATCACCTTTCGTAAAATACCCATCGACGACTGCCGAGATGTTAGAGGTATCGGTGACCCACCGTATCCCTAGTGTATGGTGCTTTTTAAAACGAATGTAGACGCCAAAGTGCTCAAATGAGAGCATTCCGGGTCACCCAATCGCCGGAGTCGAGGCAGCGCTTGATGCAGCTTGAACGCTGAAAAATAGTAGCCTACCCCCTACCCCTCCTTGTGCAGGTCACCTAGATCTTCGGTCTCATTTGCAGAGGCGTAGCGACCCATTCCGGCGCCCGGGGTGAGCTATCAATTATGCGCCCCCACCGATTTATAAATATAGTCATTCAGGTTGATGAAAAAGCGCCCCCCCCCCGCTCAGCTGGAAAGATTAGTGTCACTTTTTACCAGTCACTATCCTGTAAAATTTTTTCTTGTGAATCATTGAGTAAAGCCATGTAGCTGTTTACTCTTTTAAATTTGGGTATAATTCAATACCCCAGCTTAAAATGAGCATTTTGATTAATATTTTTACCTCTTTTGGCGCCCTTTAAGGTTCGGCGCCCGGGGCAGCCGCCCCACCCGCCCTCCCCTAGTTACGCCACTGGCGAGGGGAAGGTCAATTGCAAGACACGAAAACACCCCTAGACTTTATTTATGAGGGGGGACTTTTTTAACGTGAATCATCGTCTTTTCCTTTTTGTGCCCTAGACATATGGGGCCGCCACAGAAAGCTTCCTCTACTTGTGCCTGTCTCCGGCAATTTACCTGGCAACCCCCATGACAGTACATCGACTGCCTGTGCCAGCTGCTTCCCCGCCGTGCGCCTTCACGTCTCTCTTGGCCTTCCTTGCTTTCTTTTTTTTCCTTGATGTGTTCATTTTAGAGCCATTCCCGCGATATCATCTGCGATTCAGCGCCATCTTCTTTTTTCCCCCCGATTTTGTAGGACTGCTTCTATTTCCATCTCTCCTATAATTAGAGATGGTGTTAGGCCAGTGAATGCCTTTTTATCATTCGCAAGCGTTTACTTAGGAAAGAGTCAACTGATTTTCTGGTTTCAACGTGAATAACTAGAAATCTATATCAAAATAGGTGTGTGTGTGTGGGGGGGGGGGGGGGCGCTATATTGATAGTTTGATCCGGAATGGGTCACGTCTCTTCCGATCTGAGTTAAGACATGTTTAATTGCCCCCGGGGATGCCCTGAGGTATATGACGGGGTGTTGTCCTTTTTTACATTTCTTTTGCCCCCCCCCCCCCCTGGTTTAATTTTTTTTTCACATTACCTCCCCACCCCAACCCTAAAGCTATCAGCTTCTAAATCTATAACCTCTACGACCAGGAAGGTTGTCCATAACTGACTTTAAGCTTTTATTTCACGTTTTTGCGTATCGTCACATATCGTCGCCTAAAACAAGAACCCATCCCCACTTCTAAAATGACGTCACACCTTAAAATGTGATTTCATTGGGGTATGTCCTGCGTGGCGCCTGCGACCATAGGTTTCTACATTTCTTTTACCACCTTCTATTTTAAAAATAATATTGTATTCCGGTAGCTCCTCTCCGTGAAGTACTAGCGGGCTACTTAATTCATTAAAAGGCCTAAAATAAGTTAAAGGTTAAAATGACAAAGACAAAAAATACAAAGAACAATGTGTCCAACCAAACGTAACGTAGCCGTAGGCTTTGCCCAGTAGGCCTAAAAAAATTCCAGTGCATATTGTAATAGAATCTATGAAACAGTGATAGATTAACATAATTGAGATACTTGTCACAAACTTAACACTCAACATTTTAAAAAGATGAATAAAGTACAAATAAATAATACTAAAGAGAACATAACATATAAATAGACTACAATATCATGGTACACATTGTTTTGGCCTTGAACTTTTGACCTTTGCTATATATGCCGATGTCTAGTGGCTACAGCCGGTTATAAAGCTTAGGCCAAGTATAGATTTACGCTGCTGAAAAATAGCTTAATCACTATTACACAGCCGGATCTTTGTTTACACAGCAAATCAAGGGAAGAGTAGGAGCTATCCGGTTGAATTAGAAATAGATCTAGCTAGACCTATACTACAGCTATGTCGGAAATAAAGTGAGTTTTATTTTACTAGATTCTAGTCTAAAATTCTCTGAAAGTGAAAGCTAGCAGCAGTCACTAGAAATTTGAAATCTAGAATCTAGACTTCTAGATCTAGATTTAGTTTAGAATCTAGATCTAGATCTAGAATCTAGATCTAGCTAGATTCTAGATCTAGAAAGTAGATCTAGATTGTAAAGTTGACACCATAGCCATATGTCAAGCAAGTAGATATCTAGATCTGAAAGATCTAGATTCTAGATTCTAGACCTAAAATTCTACTAGACTCTAGATCTAGATCTAGATCTAGAATTAATACTAAATACTAATTCAGTAATTCTAAATGTAAATGTAGTAATGTAGTCTTCTTAAGATAAGATTCGATTGAAATTATTCTAGATCTAGATTAGATCTAGAATATTCTAGATCAGTAGATCTAAAAATCTATATTATTCTAGGGATTTAGGTAAAAAAACACTAATCATCATATAAAAATAAAAATTACTTATTCTTGTAGAGCTCAACTATATGAAAACAAAACAAAATAGATTTTCTGTCTAGCTCAAATAGTTTTTTTTTGGCGAATTTTTTTGTGAGGGGTGGAATCCCCTTGCTTTTGCATTGGCCAATTGTGACAAGTCATGGTATACCTGAATAAATTGAGCATAGTTATTTTACTTGCAGTTGTATTTTGTTCATATTTGCAGTTTAACTAGAATGATATATAGAACTTGTAAATGCTGTTGAAATTAATAAAAATAATACAGAACTTATATTTTTGTGTTGGCTTCCTCCCATAACCCCAAAAAACGGTGTGCTGCGCAAATATGAAAATGTTTCTAAAGCCATATTTTATATAAATACAGCAAATGAAAGAACTACAAAGTTAGAAATCTAAAGTAAATGACTTGAACACTGTTATGTGCATATAATTGCCTCATTATTTTGGGCAGGTGAAGTAGAGTCCATCTTTAAGCCATTTTGTTATAAAACTGCTGCGCAAATATGAAAATGTTTCTAAAGCAATATTTTATATAAATACAGTGAATGAAAGAACTCCATAGTCAGAAATCTAAAGTAAATGACATGAACACTGTAATGTGTCTATAACTGCCTTGTTATTTTGGGCAGGTGAAGTAGAGTCCATATAAAAGCCATTTTGTAATAAGTGAAATGAAGTTATCAGATCAATGTTTTTATGTGTGAATTGTGTATGGATTCTGATTTTCAGCATATAACTATATCTAAGGGTAAGTAGAACTTGAATACTTAAAATTACAGTTAGCACAATGTTAGTGTATAGCAACAGACAGGTAACCTAGATCTAGGTCTGACTCTTGTCAGTCTAGAGTCTAGTCTGACAAAATTGGATTTTTAGGAAAAACATATTCTAGAAAACTAGAACTAGAGCTGAAAAAATTAAAGATGGGTATGTAAATATATTTTGAAATAAAAAATTAGATTTGTTTGCACATGCCATAAGATTGCTGTTATTAGTTGATCAAACTTAAAGGCAGGAAGATCGGGATGAAAAAATATAACAATGGTGGCAGCGTGACCTACATACAGTGACTACGTTCGGAGGGGTATAACTAATGTCGGAGTCAAAATATCCAAAAACAAATTTCATTTCCAATTACTTAAGATATGTCTGATCAGTAATCTACTCTCATCTAGAGGAATCTTTTAAAAAATCGAGATTCCAACGTATTTGAAACTAACCTTGATACAGGGGGAAGACCAAAGCAGAGACAGCATGCAATCAGGTCGCAAAGCCATTAAAACTAAGGGACAACCACTCTACTTTTTAATTAACCTTAGGAAATGACCTTTTAAACTTAATTAATTACCATAAATTAAAAACTTATTAGTATGCAAAACCAAATCTCGTGGGTCCGGTATCAGAAAGTAATGGGCGATTTCGGGTCATGTTTTTACCGCGAACTCGGCGGATGCCGACAACCCTAATTATTCTATAGGCCTATAGATAGTATAGCCCTGAAATGGTGTGTATGCTGTCATAGCCATGGAAATTGCGAGACGCAAAAAGGGAAATGGCGAGGCGGTAAACTGCGAGAAGAGAATGCAAGACTGTCCAACTTTTACTCATTAAATCTACATCGTGACTTAATAAGTGCGACCTTAATATCATAATCATGGGACGGAGTGGTCTAGCGGTAGAGAGCTGGACTGCTAACCCGTAAGTCTCGAGTTCGAATCAGGGTTCAAGTCAGTAGACCGTCCCTGAGTCCACCCAACTCAGATGGGTACCTAACTCACGTTAGGGAAAGTAAAGGTGGCTGGGCATAGTGCTGACCACACTATCTCTTCATATGCCGAGGTCACAGAAACAAGTGAACTCTACTTCACTTGCCCCATAGACCGTCAGGTTTGAAAGGGAAACTTTAATATCATAATCATACTGCCTTATTTTTTCGAGGAGAAAAAGTATACCCACATGCCACATCATTCAAGGTCAATACCTCAGTGAATTAGTTTTCGCTCGGTTTCAATGAGTATATAGCCCTTCCCCCTCTTCTTCTCTACCTCATTAAAAAAAAATTTACAAACATGGTCGGTGTTAAAAGTGTAACGACGTTTGATTAAAAAAAAGGGAGCGGGTGGTGTTGAAACAACGCGGCTGTTTCTGTAATAGTAAAATAAATTATACAGGAAATATGTAATTTTATTACTTAATTAATTTGTTAATTTAATTATCGCTAAAGAACATAAAGGGTCTGACCATAAAGTATATATAATTATTGTTTTGGACACTTGCCCGATTGCGACAAATGCCAGAATAGGACAAATTCCTGAATGGACACTTCTGGCATTTGTCGCATTCGGGCATCTGTCACATTCGGGCAAGTGTGCATTTGTCGCATTTGGGCAAGTGTCCATTCGGGAAATCGGCCTTCGGGCAAATGGCATTTGGGCAAGTGTCTTTCGAGAAAATGTCCAGCTCCCGTCTAGTGTAGGCTACTCGATCTAGGTCCTATTACTAGAATTTTAGGGAATCTGCTCAATTAAAATAATATAAGCATCTGAGCTCACATTTTACATGTTTTTTGCTGTTATTTACAAAAGAGTGACTTCACTTTCAACCCCAGAAGAAACCAATTGTATTTTATTTCCTCTTGTCTGTGACATGATTGAGAGCATATTTTTTTTTTGCCATTTGCATATCACAGTTTACCCCCCCCCCCCCCCCCCCCCCCCCCCACACACACACACAACTGTCATTGTTGTTGCAATATTGTTTCAACAATATGGCTATTTAGTCAAAGCTCCCCTTCCCTCATCTTTTTTCACCAATGGGAAACCTAAAATTGTGTTAGTGTTAGTAAGCAAAAAAAATCATGGATCTCTCCTATCAAAAAGATAAAATAATAAATCTCTCCACAAAATAAGCATAGTTATAAGCCATTTTGTTTTTGAATCAAAGACATTTGTTTATGGGCCCTACATGTCTGTATCCACACACTTGACTCAAGTGACCAGTTAGAGAGATAAGTGTTTCTTACACACAAACTTCTTATCTCCAATACAAAGCCTACTGGTTAACAGGATATATCTTGATATCCTGGTTTCATTTAAGGTTACTAATATTGTTTTACTGTCACCTCACAAATTACATGGGTCTATATTTAGACTCTATGGGACGGTGTGGGCCTAGCGGTTGAGTGCTAGACTGCTAACCTAAAAATTACGAGTTTGAATCCAGGTTCAAGTCAGTGTAATGTCCCTGATTCCACCCAACTCTGATATGTACCTAACTCATGTTAGGGAAATTAATGGTGGCTGGGCATAGTGCTGAACACATTATCCCTTTATTTGCAGAGGTCAAGAAAGATATGAACTCTATTTTTTCTGCCTAATGGATCGCCCGGGTCTAAAGAGGAATCTTTACTTAAAATTTAGACTCTGAATTTCTGTGTCAGCTTTATTTTTTATTAACTGCTACTACCTTCTGTATTAATACAGAATTATAACATTTTTAAATTAACATAAAAAATGAAAAGTATGGTGTAGGCTTAAAATATATAAATTTTTTTTTCAGCTCATAAGTTAAAAAAAAAAAGAAAATGGTTGATACTGAAAGACATTAACTAATACATTAAAAAATACATAAAAATATGAATGGTATGGCAATCAAAATATGGCTAACAATATCTACCATGAGATTTCTCATAGATACAATTTTCTTTTTCAGAGGTGATATTGCCCTTATTGGGTTGGCAGTGATGGGACAGAATTTGATCCTCAATATGAATGACCATGGTTTTACTGTAAGTTTTACAAGTTAACATTGATTGCTTTGTTGTTTTGTTAAAGGACAACCATAAATTATGTTGCACTCCTTAAATTGGAAAGGAGGCAAGTGGTTGGTTTTATTGTCAGCGTGTAATATGGGACAGTTTAGAAAGTGTAACATCACACTTTAAAAAAAAAAATTAATTGAATATTTAAAATTATTTCACATTCTTTAAAAACTTTTGAAAAATGTAATAAAAATTGATCAAAGTACCAAATTTTTCCCAGATGTTGTAGTACTATTGAATAGTCTTAGTGATGTTTTGAATAAAGAAAAATTAGTATTTAGTGTTGGAGAAGGTTTGGGGGGGTGGTCGGCTATACAGAAGTCAATGGCTGACTCATTTGCATTTTGCTCACTACATTCCAGAATATACTTGTGTTGCTGTGTACAATATATGTTGACATTTATTTTACAGGTGGTTGCATTTAATAGAACTGTTTCTAAAGTGACAGAGTTTTTGAACAATGAAGCCAAAGGAACAAAAATAATTGGGGCCACCTCACTACAAGATATGGTCAGTAAGTTGAAAACTCCACGAAGGGTCATGTTGCTGGTCAAAGCTGGGTCTGCTGTGGATGATTTTATAAACAGTTTGGTAAGTTTTGGTCAGATGTGGCATTTAGTTGCCCAGTTTTTGGCAGGTGGACATTTAGTTAACTAGTTTTTGGTAGGTGAGGAATTTAATTACCTAGTTTTGGTAGGTGAGGAATTTAATTAACTAGTTTTAGTAGGTGAGGAATTTAATTACCTAGTTTTAGTAGGTGAGGAATTTAATTACCTAGTTTTGGTAGGTGAGGAATTTAATTACCTAGTTTTGGTAGGTGAGGAATTTAATTAACTAGTTTTAGTAGGTGAGGAATTTAATTACCTAGTTTTAGTAGGTGAGGAATTTAATTACCTAGTTTTGGTAGGTGAGGAATTTAATTACCTAGTTTTGGTAGGTGAGGAATTTAATTAACTAGTTTTAGTAGGTGAGGAATTTAATTACCTAGTTTTGGTAGGTGAGGAATTTAATTACCTAGTTTTGGTAGGTGAGGAATTTAATTAACTAGTTTTAGTAGGTGAGGAATTTAATTACCTAGTTTTGGTAGGTGAGGAATTTAATTAACTAGTTTTAGTAGGTGAGGAATTTAATTACCTAGTTTTGGTAGGTGAGGAATTTAATTAACTAGTTTTAGTAGGTGAGGAATTTAATTAACTAGTTTTAGTAGGTAGGAATTTAATTTCCTAGTTTTGGTAGGAGTGGGATTTAATTACCTAATTTTGGTCGATGAGGGATTTAATTACCTAGTTTTAGTCAGATGTGGCATTTAGTTTTCTAGCTTTTAAAAGGTGGGACAATAATTAAAAGAAAATATGTTCATTGATTGCTAAATGAATTTAAATAAAAGTGTGTTATTACATAATATGACCTGATGAGAACCCACGCTTTCCTAAAACACTAGTTGTGTGTGCAGACAGGTTGCAGGGGTCGGCTTGGTCGAGTCGGTAAAGCTCATGGTTGCTAAACCGAAAAGTCTCGAGTTCGAACCCTCGGGCAGATGAGGCTCGTTAGCTGGGGACAGCCACTCTTCTAGGAGAGACAACTCCAAAATCAAACAACTGCTGCCTTGTAGTTTGTTCTTGGTTGGATAAAGGCTATGGAAGCAAATCCAAAAAGAAAAGCAGGCTGAAATCGGAGTCAATGGCCTCAATGGCGCATAACCAGTTGACACGTAACGCTTAATTGTGTTGGAGGCGTGGTGGAGTCGGCAAAAAGCTCATGGTTGATACATTCGAACAGTCTCGAGTTCAAACCCCACTGGCAGATAAATCTCGATCCCCTTCAACACTAATAATTAAGAACGAAGAAGAAGACATAATATGTTTTGGTGTGCATAACATAAAATGACATGTGATTGTAGCTATGTTTTTTTTTTATTGAATAGGTGCCTTTGCTTGAAAAAGGGGACATCATCATTGATGGAGGAAACTCAGAATATACAGATTCTATTGTAAGCTGGATGTTTTTTAAAAAAAGTACACCTTTAAGATATAAAGCTATTGTGAATAAAATATAAAAATGCTTTTTTTGTTTGTATTTAATTTTGTTTGGTTTTTTTTTTACACAGCGTCGATGTAAATCCTTGAAAGAGAAAGGTATTCATTTTATTGGTAGTGGGGTGAGTGGTGGTGAGGAGGGTGCAAGGTATGGGCCATCTCTAATGCCTGGAGGAGCTGAAGACGCTTGGCCAGCTGTCAAAGACATTTTCCAGTCCATCTCTGCTAAGGCTGATAATGAGCCTTGTTGTGATTGGGTAAGTAGTCTATCATCACTCTGTTGTATAGATTGAATAATTTAACTTTTTTTTTGGAAAATAGTATATAATGGCAAATCTAAACTGAGTCATCTCAGCATATCTAATTAATCTATTCTCATTCTATTCTATTATGTATTACAGCTATTTAATATTACTTCTTTATTCCACATTTTAAAATGCAGCTTTACTACTTTGTCTTTAATATTTAATTGCTATTTGATTTAAATGTTATTATTTTTTTATAATGGCCAATGTGAAAAAAGACCACCTTACCTACTGTTGTTACTGTTTTAAAATAAAATCAAAGTTTATTATTACCCAATGAGCCAAAGTGTAAAAGGGTTTATTGATGATTTTTTTTAACTTTCCTGATTTATGTTGAATAATGAAGTTTTTTAACATATTGTAATCAGTTGGTTGCAAATATTTTTTTGGTAAACTGTTAGCACTAGTAGTTACATGCAGTGTTCCCTCTAAGCTGCGCGGCTGCGCGGCCGCGCAGCACTTACAAATATGCCGCGCAGACATTTTCTGATGCCGCGCACAGATTATCAGAACGTCGGGCAAGTCTGATTCACTAAAAAAAATTGTGGTCAGTGGCTTGAATGAAGCGACATTTTTAGTGCCTGTTTTGTTAAACGAACAGTCTTTGTGTTTTGGGGCATAAACAGAAATCACAGGTATCTTTGACTGGGGGGAGGGGGTGACCTCGGTTGTCATACCACAGATCTAGTTAATGGCAACTCTAAATTGAGCGGGGCGGGTTTCGATGTGATGCCTGGGTGACCCTCCCTCTTCTTGATTTAATGGTTTACCTGACACCTAATACCTGAAAAGGATTGTGGCTACTAGCTGACCATGCAAGGTTTTATTTTCTATAGCCACTGCCCCTACCCATCTCCCAACCCCCACCCATCACCTTGATACTATGACGGTTTACCCAAGTCAGATGCAAAATCTACTTTACTGAAGGTGGATGTGTTTTTCGCTCTGTTTTGTTTAAGGATTTATATACTATATACCCAATTCTTGAGATTATTACGTGCACCTGGATCGAACTGTTTCAGTATTCACAGACTGGTTAGGTAAATAAGGAATAAAAGTTTACTACTCTGTGCTATTTGAACATGTTGAAAAGAAATGCTGCAAAAAAAAAAGCGAGAGATTCGTTTAAACTGGAATGGCTCAAAGTTAAAGTGACAACCGATACGTCAGATTCTAAGAATGTTTCAGTTGAATTAGGAAGCATCTGAAGTGTAAGCTCTGTGCTGCTAGTACTTGAAACTAACACTGAGCGAGAAGAACGAATTAAACAAAATGAGCGCCAGCGTTCAAACGAGGATCAAGTTCGAATCCTAATGGATAATGTTCTTCTCGCCATTAGGATGAACGCCTCGATGCTGTCGGTACAACTGATTCATAACCACATGGGGAAGTATGTTTCTATATCAGACAGTTGGCGAAGTAAGAATTACGCCTTTGAGTTTGTTGAAGCAATCAACGAGGCGGTTGTGAAGAACACACTGACAGAACTTCTAGTAGCATCGTTCCACGCGCTTATAGTTGATGAAAGTACTGACATAATTGTATATAAAATGCTAATCCTTTATTTTAAATTTCGTTCAGTAAATTCTTTATCCTACAAAACCGTTTTTGGTGGAATAATTCAGCTTACTGCATGTGATGCCTCAGCTCTGGAGGCAGCCATAACACAGTACTACACTGAACATCAACTTGAAATGAAACCGCATGGTAATGATAACATCAGACGGGGCATCGGTTATGTTAGGCCGTAGGAAGGGATTAGCTGCTTTATTGAAGGCTAAGGTACCCCATCTTGTTGAACAGCACTAAGTTCGATCTTCAGTTTAAAAGGGCGCACTTGAAGAATTGGCCAAGGTGCATGATATGGATGTAATTTTTTTTCGACCAATTTATGAAGTTCGTTGGTTGTCACGTCACTATCAATGTTGTTGCAGCGAAATAATTTATCATCTATCGAAGCACATCAATTTTGCATTTCTAAAATACGCAAATTAGAAGCACAATACCTGAGTGAAGATGTTTATTGGAACGATAAAGCCAAGAAAATTTTGATTGAAAACGTAGGAATCGACACAAGACAAATCACACAGTTTATACGATCGGTCTGCGATCATTTAAATGTAAGGTTTCCAGGAGATGAACTGCAGTTTTCGTCAGCTTTTGATCATACTGGTTTAAAAAATTGTGCATTTGAGTTTGGCGTCAAAGATATCAAAGAACTGTGCGTAAAGTACAAATACGTGTTACAAACAACAAATAAAGAGTCAATTATCACGTAATAAAGGACTTCAAATTTCAGATCAGTGAAAAACTCAAATCAGGTTCAGTAAATTCATTAACTGAAATCGCAGATTTGATGAACAATTTAGCTCATTGGCAAAGTTAATTGACATATGCTGTACTTTTCAAGTATCCAGCGCTGATTGCGAGCGAGGTTTTAGTCTTATGATCAGAATTAAAGTGCAAGCACGAAATAGACTTGAAGAAACACATTTGGAAAATCTAATGCGAATTAAATTATATCTAAATGCTGGAGAGGATGTGGATTTAAACAAAGCATATAAGGTGTGGAAGCAAGGCAAGGTTAGACGCGAGAAATTGCAATAAATGTCACTGAAAGGTTAGCTAATTTTCTTTTCAAGTCAGCTCTTTAAAATGGTTTACATGTTAAACTTTTGTATTTGTATTACCGTTATGGTATTAACATTATTAACATATGATTGCATTACACTTACATAGTACGTAGACCATATAACCTGTTGTCTAAGTATAACTCTAAAAGTTTCTGTTGTGTATTTTATTTTATTTAAATGGGATTCGTATCTTCTTTTAATTGCATACGTTTCATTAGTCCTGCACATTATACTATTAATTTATCAAAATGCATGCCTTCATTACTCTGCTTAATTGCAAGCCTAAACATTAACTTGCCCAAGTCATTTTTAGCACCGCGCACACAACATATTTTTTGCACACACACTCTTGGTCCTTAGAGGGAACATTGGTTACATGTAGACATAGGGAGTCATTGTAGGTCACCATATGGTCAGATATATGAGACTAATCCTTCTGTTTTTTTAGGGAATAACTTGTCTTGTTAGGTGTTAGATTTATCATTTGTATCCAGAGGCTTCACTTGGTCAGGTGTCACCCTGTATTTCATCTCATGTCACACCCCCACACCCCCCCTCCCCTTTGTCATAATATATCAATGTGTACTTAAAAGACTGTTTACTTTATCATTAATTGAACTGGAAAAATAATTAAAATAATTCTTTTTCTACAATATTTTGATTTTGGAATTTTTTGCATTGGTGTCACCTGGTACAACCCCTGTAGCCCTCTTGTGATGCCTCTGTATAGAAAGTTGAATTGTCAGAATATTTGGTTGTTAATAAGATACAAAATGGAAAATCAAAGTTCTTTGTTTTCTTAAATAACAGGTGGGGCCAGAAGGTGCTGGTCACTTTGTTAAAATGGTCCACAATGGAATTGAGTATGGAGACATGCAGCTTATTTGTGAGGCTTATCATGTGATGAAAGCCGCACTAGGGCTAACTCATGCTGAGATGGCTGATGTAAGTAGACTTTTGTGTATAGTGTAAATAGTGTTTGTGTTCTGGTTTTTATAAATCAGATGGTGTTAAATTTGGTGAGAAAAAATATTTTTCCATCTTACAGGTTTTTGAAGACTGGAATAAAGGAGAATTAGAGTCTTTCCTGATTGAAATAACACGTGATATAATGAGATACAATGACACTGATGGGAAACCACTTGTAGAGAAAATTAGGGATTCTGCTGGGCAAAAAGGAACTGGGAAATGGACAGCTATTTCTTCACTAGAGTATGGTGTACCTGTCACGCTAATAGGTAAAGATTTCTATTCAATTTTAATTACAAGTGCAGTTAACATGTGATGATGGTACATGTGTTTGTCTTTTAAATTAGTTTTTCTTTTGTTTAAGAAAGCTCTGGTCTGTTAATTGCTGCCTTCAGCTGAAACTAAGATTTGTAGCTTGTAAACATTTGTTTTACTCTTTTTTTTTTGTTTTTTACCAGGTGAAGCAGTTTTTGCCCGCTGTTTGTCATCATTGAAAGATGAAAGAGTTTTAGCCAGTAAAGAAATCACAGGTCCAAGTGTTACCAAATATAGTGGGGACAAAAAAGCTTTTATTGAAGATATCAGAAAAGTAAGTCCTTGTTTCTAAAGGTTTACTGTAATAATAATTAACACTTTAAAATGTTTTCACTGTATTTTTAAATAGATGATAATAAAAGAATATTATTTTGCTTAGGCCTTGTATGCATCAAAAATTGTGTCGTATGCTCAAGGATTTATGCTAATGAGAGAAACAGCAAAAGAACTGGGGTGGAAGTTAAATTTTGGTTCCATAGCTTTAATGTGGAGAGGAGGATGCATTATAAGAAGGTAAACCTTTCGCTTTAGTGTCTGCATTAGAAAAACATCTTTGTGGGCAGCTATACATTTTATGAAAGAAATAGAAGAAATTAAATATTTCGAATCGTCATTGACTTTGCTTCAAGTAACACTAATTAAATAGTGGATAACATTCTTACCTCTTAGTTTTCAAAACATAATTTTTTTTTTCAGTGTCTTTCTTGGCAATATAAAACAAGCCTATGACAAGAACCCAAACCTTAGTAATCTCTTATTAGATGAGTTCTTCAAGAAAGAGATCCAGAAATGTCAGGTAATGGCATGATCTATATTAAAATATGTGTGTTTCATTTTAAATGATAAACAGTTATCAGAAATTCTTTTAGTTTGCAGTGATGAAATTATGTAAATACTAGTGTATAATTTATTGTTAATATTATTTAAAAAAACAATTAGGATTCGTGGAGAAGAGTTGTATCCAATGCTGTTCTTCTTGGTATTCCCACGCCTGCATTCAGTACAGCCTTAGCTTTCTTTGATGGTTACAGAAGTGAAACTTTACCTGCCAACCTTATTCAGGTAAAAATTGTAATGTTTACCTAAGCAGTACTTCCTTGTTTAGCCCAGACTGACATGATGAATTCTTTTCATCATCTAACTCTGCAAGAAGGAATATATGACTTGAGAGAGAAGCAGTCTGTTTATGGTGGAGAAAATACTTATAACCAAACCAGAGTTTTATTTCAACCCTTAATTACACAGTCGACCTTTAAAAAATTGTAATAGGCTGTTAGTATTGGGTAAACAAATATTTTGTAATTAGATGAAAACCCAGTAACAATTTAAATTTAAATTAAAAAATAAGTCCTTAAAAGCTGTTGTGCTCAAAGTCTGTTTGTGCTTTAGAGATTTAGTGGTCGACTGATATAGCATGTTTTCAATCTAAAAAAAGAAGAGTGCACACCCATGGCCATAACCTGAAGTATATGTAGCTCACCTGGTAAGATCTGGCAATGTGTTGCTATACTCATGCAGTTTGGCCTCAAACCTTAACTAGAAAAGTGTTTCCAAGAAAAAAGTAAAATTAAAATAAAATTGCAGTGAGAAATTCTATAAGTAATACTTTCTTTCAGGCTCAGAGAGACTACTTTGGTGCCCACACATATGAGCTCAATGATGCTCCAGGAAAATACATTCACACCAACTGGACAGGCAGGGGAGGCAATGTTTCTTCATCAACCTATCAAGCATAAGATGTATCAGTGTTCTGTGACTGAGCTCTTGTATCAAAATGAAATTTATAAAATAAAAAAAAAAAGAATACAATTAGCCCTGGCAAATTTAAAGAAAAATTGTCATTGAAGAATGCTACTGAAGAAATTGTTTCAAAAAGTTGTTGATTTAGAAAAATCATATTTGACTTTATTTAGGAAAAAAATGTTTTGTAGTTTAATCACCTGTAAAGATATTTAGAACTCTATTTTATATTATGATTGATTTTATAGAAATTTTATTGTATTCTATATTCTTCTGTTTATTCTTTCAACCCTTTTTTAAAAAAAGTTTTTAAGATTAATGGTTATTCAGGTATTTTACTCATTTTTTAAAATGCCTTTAAACATTTTTCTCAGAATTTTTTTACATTAAATTTGTTAAGATATTGTTTATGAAAATAAATATTGATGAATATATCTGACATGGTGTAAAGAAATTTTTATATTATGCTTAATAGAATGCTGTCATTTCTATTAGGGACCAAGATATTAAAAGTTATGTAACTAAATTTTAATGTCATTGACTTCATTTTTTAAAAATAATATTTATATAGGTGACTTGGTTATATTGGTTTTGAAGGCAGGCTATCACTTTTTTAACTGGACTGTGTCTAATGCATTAGGCTACAACAACTTCTTAACATTTTCTCATGCTGTCCAGATGCACCGCTTTCCACTATCTTTTTCATGTCCATTTTATGTTACTAATTTTTTTTAGAAGTCTTGATGAGATAAAACACTGTTCTATCTATGCACAACCTCAGCTGTGTGCTAATACTAAATTTGTTAAAAGTATGGTGTACGCACAAGTCATTTGGGTTGTTTGAATGTGAAGAGTTAAACAAACATGATTGATAGTTGTAACAAAAAAACAAGTTTAAAGTATTGTAAATGTAATGTACACAAATAAAATATTAAGGGAATAATATAGCTTTATTTTTTTTTTTTTTTTACATAAACAGCAAATCATACAAAAATAATTTTAGCAGACACAATAGAAACAATCTAAATGGATATTGTAACAGATGACAATAATTTCCGAAAAACCATGCAATATCGTCTCTTCTATAATTTTAACAAAACCTGCAATAAAAATATCTTAATAGAGGGAGAATCTAAGAATCCAAATTTTTTCCAACCACATAGAGCTACATTAGATGGGTCCATTATTTGATTGGCAATCTGTTAGTGTTTTCATAGATCCATTATTTACATTCAGTCTACTAAAATGTATGCACACAGTATAAAATTATTACCATTTATTGTTGAATCAAACTACAACATGTACCATCTCTGCCTTAGATGAGTCAAGCTTTTATTTACGAAGGAGAAGACATTTTTCAAACTGCTACAACTGTTCAAATAAACCTGACTGTTACAATAACCATTCAGAAAGTCACATTAATAAAAAATATTTAATGATATCTAGAAGGCAAAAGTTATTATTTCTAGTGCCAGCCAGTTAATTTACAAAAAAATTTCTGTTAATTATTTTAATATTATTTTTTCTAAACTTTTACAAAATTGACAAAATTTGTTTTTTTGGGGACATTTACGTATGAACCTGTGACGTAAGAATATTACCATAGACCCATGAAAAAATGTATTCCCAATCAGTCCCCATGCTAAAATTTAGTGAAAACTTGAGTGAAAATGTGCTTTAAAAGAAAGAAACATACAGCTCTGATATGGATGACACCAAAGAAACTGCAAGCACTTGAAGGCAGGGGAGGCTGGAGGTAGTACAAGCAAAGCCACAGAAAAGTATATTCAAACTTTTTTATGGGCAGGGTAATGGCCTTTCATCACGACCACACAGAAACTACAAACCCAACCTATTTCATTTTACTCACTCTGAGATTTAAAAACAAGTAACTTGAATCGCAAGTAATTTTTTTTTTCAACAAACAAAAAACCCAATGTTTGTCAGGATTTATTTTTAAAAATTAGACTTATTCAATGCAATGCTTAAACAGACATTTAACATATTGCATACTCATTTATGTTATTTAAAATTTTTAAATGCAAAGTAGACCTTCGTGCAGTATATTAAAAAACAAACTGACATTATAAGTGGATGAACTGTTTACAGGACCAGAAATTGTTGAACTTTAAATATTTAATAAACGAACACTGCACTACAAATATTTATTATCTAAAGATAATAGTACATTGTAACAGAGCACCTTTGTAGTCGTGTATCAAAATTTAGAATAACATTCAACTGAAAGCAGGCAGAGAAATTTGACATTGAAAGCGCTGGTGTCCATCCAATCAACACACAAAGGCTAAGGTCATGTGACCTCAATGAACAAATCACAGACTTTATCAAACAATTTACAACCAACTAACAATGGAAGCCTTGGAATGAATATTAATTAAAAGGAACTGTTAAACCAATGAATTATCCTGTGATAATTCTTGTTAAACTTCAAAACAAATGAGTATTATCTCACATAGCACAACATGCAAAGTGCAAAACTACCAGTACCTTTATCATGCAACAGACTTAAGAAAAATGCTTGGTTTGAATGTAAAAGAATCTCTAAAGAGTCCAAAGTTGAGTCAAACAGGAAAATTATAAATTTGCAAAATTGTTGTGTAAATGAGACTGAGCTATTTTACTGGTATAAGTGTGAACCAAGTTCTATGTGTAAGAAAACTCCCTTGATACAAAAAATTTAAGAAATGTAGCCTCTCAATGACCCACTGAAATAGATTAAGCTCATTAAAATCCATTATACTATAAATCAATTTTTTTTTACTTACTCTATTCTTAAAATATTAAATGTTTAATTAACATTTTTTTTGCTTTTCCGACAACAGGTAACCTTCAACCAAATACACAATACAGGTGATGTTCCAAGAACATAAAAATTTGTTCCAATATTGGACACAAACATATGATAAACAAAGACACAAACAGATAGCTTTAAGCAGCACCGATTTGCCTGACAAAAAATAACTTATGTTATTTACCAAAGCAACAAGTTATGGCTTTCTTTCAAGTACAGATCTGGATTAAAAAGGTGAAGGGTCGTAGCAAGCATAACTTGACCCCATGCGCATAAACCCACACAAACAAAACTAGAGCATGCAATTATATATAATGCAAATCCAAGCTTAATTTGATTACAACATAGTATCAGGTCTTAAACTAATATAAATAGGTTTCCATATTAAAGTTCACACACAAAATGATTAAAACATTTCTAAGCACAAAATTTAGACGGCACCTTGTTAGTAAAGCTGACAAAAAGCAAAATCCTAAAATGCTACACTAAAAATGAATTAGGAAAACCTAAAAAAAGGTATCTGTATATTATTATTTTAATTAAAAGATAAATATATCTAGGATTTTATATAATGTTGTAACAAAACAAGAAAGACTGAATTCCTATTTAACTTATTTACATGTGTGCATGTTTCATAAAACAAAGGGCACATTGCAGTGTGTATACGCATTTCTTTACAACTATTTTATTAACAAACAGACAACGAAACTTAAAGATTATCTTTTTCCATTTTATACAGTGGATATATGTACACATTTCTATTTAGAATCTGCAGTGATTACTTTAAATTGTTAAAACTATGTTGATTAATATTTCCTAAAGGATATCAGGAAAAGTAAAATAAAATTAGATTTTTTAATATTTAATAAATTTTTCACATAGCCACAACAACAAAAAAAATTAATAATTTCACAACCAAAATTATAAACAAACTAAATTTTGCAATCACTGCCACAAAAAAAATCTGGCTGTTGATCTAACAATTATTTTTTTCAATTGTCATTACTATGTTGTAATAGCAAGATTTAGCGTTAAGAAAGGAACTGCAAAAAATTATTCCATACATCGTTAAAAAAGAAATTTTTTTGTTTCTGTAACTATTGTTTTTAAAAACTGAAACTGACAAAATCAGAAAGCAAGGATAACTTGGTCTACAAAGAAAAAAAAAACCTAGCTAACACCATCAAACACAAATCAACAATTTATAAACTAAAGCAAACCAGTGTAAAAGCTAGCAGTGCAAAAATTCAATGCCATTTTAAAGATAATGGATTTTTTTTTTAAAAAAAGAACACAACCACAACCAAGGAAATTTTTAACTGCTAATGAGCAGTTTACACAGTGTAAATGGATAAATTTTACATTACATTTTCAAAAGTAAATTCTGAAGTACTAGATACTAGTTCAGTAAAAAGTGATCTGTTCTGATTTGTTTGTTCTAATGAAATCCAAAGATAGGGCTATGTTACATGTTATTTAACATCTAAAATAGGCATTTTTAATATTGTTAACTGAAAATAAACAATAACCTTTACACATGTTTTTAGGGAAGAATCAAATTTATACATAGTTTTTTGGAAATACAATAAAAAAACATATCCTTTATAAAAAGTAAACTTAATTTATAAAATATATGAATAATTTACATTTGGATGCATTTCAAATTGCTCTTGTAACTGTATACTATAAATTCAGTTTTGTAAAAGTTAAGAACAGTTTTTGTTAGGAAAATGACTACAAAGTTTTTAAAGAATTCTGAAATAAAAATGTGTTGGTCTTTGTATACTAAGGAATGTGATAGAATGAAAGAAATCTTTAAACATACAAGGTGTTACTCTAATGTGCGATGACGGTAGTCAAAACACAGTAGTCTGAAGGTGACAATTTAAAGAATAAATTTATGGAAATGCTTGACAAGAATCACCTATGTATGTTAACATGCATTATTTCTTCTAGAAAATTAATTAAAAAAAATATACATAAGATGAGTTGTTTGAAAAATTGTGTCAAGTTTAAAAAGTGGAATGCTAAGTCTAATCTGCTAAAAACTGAGATGATATCTGACAGCAATATTTTTTTACCACTAACTTACATACAATAAAATATGTCTAAATTGGCAACATAATTTTAAATGGTGAATAAATGCATTCAAGATATATATAAATAAAAATTAAATAGGGGAAGTAAGCAGGTTCAATAATTTATTTAACCTTCATGATCAGGTAATTAGAGGTAGGAAAAAAAATGTTTTCTTAAAAAAATTTGTATTTGCAAATTTTATCACTTATTCTAACATTAATTTTGTACAAACATAATTGATAAATGAGATAAATTTTCCATTACTAAAATTAGAACATGAAGTCCTAAAGTAAATATCTTTAGAAATCTCAAAGTTGTAATTTTGGAATCAATAATTAAAGCTTAATTCATACTAAATGTGGGGGATTAATAATATGGAAAATAAACCAGGTATAATCAAAATTGACTAATGTAATTAGTTTTTCTACAAAATGGTTTACTTGAATCAAGTGAAAATAAAAAAGGCTTTATCATCACCTAAAATTGAAGAAATTGATTAAAACTCATTGAGAGATAAAACAATAGCTATGTGAGTAACAACATTTTACTATGTTTCTAGACTGAAATTAAAAAGTTCTTTGATTTGCAGTATATTTGGTGTGTGAAGCAGGCTCAAGGAAGTAAACAGCTTAGGGAAGAACAAGGGTTCAGATCTTATACACAGTCCTCCATGGACATCAGTAGCGGGTTGACGTATTCAAAGCCATCAAACTCTGATTGATCAATATCACTTATGGTTTTTCTGTGTGGTATTATGTGAGAAATAATTAACAAAAATATGAAACAAATTACAAGTAAAACAATTCTATATTACTTACAAGTAAACATAATATTTTCATTTTTAAAAACTAATTTAAAAAAGCTGTTAAGAAAAATGTTAAGACAACATTTTAAAAACTATAAACTTACAAGTAAACGTAATATTTTAAAAAATCTATTAAGAAAATTGTACAGACATTTTTAAAAACTATAAACTTACAAGTAAACATAATATTTTTAAAAAATCTATTAAGAAAATTGTACAGACATTTTTAAAAACTATAAACTTACAAGTAAACATAATATTTTTAAAAAATCTAGTAAGAAAATTGTACAGACATTTTTAAAAACTATAAACTTACAAGTAAACATAATATTTTCAAAAAATCTAGTAAGAAAATTGTACAGACGACATTTTTAAAAACTATAAAATAACTTACGGGTCATCAGGGGTCAGTCGCACAGGTTCGTTAGTAAAAGCTGGGTCAAAGTGTTCTAGGTCACGCTCGTGGCGAATGTGAGGTTTGTAAGGGGGAATAATCTGTTTCTGCTCTAGCAGATCCCAGTCAATCGTTCGGAAGAATGGATGTGATTGTATATCCGAAAATCCGGTTTGTGGGTGGCAACCAAGTCTTTCAGCAGGAGCCTAGAATAAAAATTTTTTTTTGTTAACCAGAAAGAAGTTAAATTTATTTTTAAAACTGTGACAGCCAGTTTTGGAAATTATAGTTCGGAGAAAATGTGTATAAATAAAAAGTTAAACAGTAGTGGGACAGGGTTGTTGAGTAATTAACCACACATTTTTCATGCTAAGTTAAATCCATGGATGTCACTGGTCATATAAGGAGCTTACAAGGACTCAAGAAAAACCTAATACTCTTATAGACCCCAAGGTAGCTTTTCTTGCTTTATCCACTGCCAAATGAAAAATATTTAATGCATTTCTAATTTTAAAATTGCAATGGAATTTTACTACTGCAGTAAAATTATAAGTGTAGCTTCATTTATACCATTCAACATTCCATATTTTACTACTACATTATTTTTTTCAAAACTTATTTGGTGACTCAGTCACTGAAATAAAGCTCAAGTAAATATGAGTAAGTTAACATGGATAAGTAACATGGATAAGTAAACATAGATAAGTAAACATGGATAAGTTAACATGGATAAGTAAACATTGATGAGTAAACACAGATAAGTAAACATGAATGTTAGCACTACAAACTTACTTTATTCAAGAAACCTTTAAGCAATGAAGCAGCTTTCACAGACAAAGATCTGGGTATTCTAATGGGTTTCTCCAAAATAACTAAAAAATGAGGATACAGATTTATTATGCTTTAAGTTTTCTAAAATAATATTTTTAAGAGGATTTACAAAAAGGCAATGATGTTTATGTATTCATCCTTAGTAGTCATACCACAATCAAATAGCTAGCACTATTAATATGCTTGGAAAACTGGTTCCAAACGGTTGTTGCCAGAAACTATATTTTTCAAACCTAATTGAATATTTTAATTTTTGAAATAAGTACAAAATGACTTCTGGTTTTATTAAGGCTAGAAATATTCAAAGAAATAATTACTAGTAATATAATAATAATTTAGCTAACACTTTTAATTTTAATTTGGATCAGTTGAGTCAGGGTGTTGTGGTGATAGGAGATGTTATATTATTTAATACAATAAACAACTAGGTAATACCCCAGGCATTGACAGCTGTTGTGTATTTTATCCTGGAAAAATACCGTTGTGATTTTCATTGTTTCACTTTCCCTGTCCACTCCGTTGGACTTCAAGGAGGGGTTGAGGGCCGTTTTAAAAAATATTTGAATTGATAAAAATAATTCTTAAATGGCTTTTTAACGGCTTATATTCAATATGACAATATGAAAATTACTAATTGATGCTTCCCAAACAGCTTTAATTTTTAAAAATGTAACTATTTGCCATATTTTTTAAAAGATTACATTTTTTTAAAAATGATTACATATTCTTTTCAAGCCTATTAGTAATCTCACGTTATTGAGCATATTGCTAGGTTTGGGTTTAGGGTTAACGAGTCATTTTCTGTGAAACTTATATCAATCAATGAAGGTGGCAAACCTAAGTATGGATGCTAATGATGATTATGTGAGACAAGAACCATCTTACTCTGAAATAAATAATCCTCTGTGTTTTGATCTGGATTGTCAGCATTCCCTACGGCATCAAACGGCGACCGACCAGCCAACATCTCGTACATCAGGACTCCAAGGGCCCACCAGTCCACACTAAAATCTACAGAAAAAAAACAACACTTTATCAACTTAGCGATACCTAACTTGTTTGTGATGAAGTAATCTTTCTTAAAGTAAGGATGTCTTCTTTCACTTTAACATAAACAAGAAAAATCTATCAATTAAAAACCAAAAATTTAATGGTTTAAAAATTTGTAATTTTTCAAGTAACAATTATTTTTAATATTTGCCATTTTCGTTAACAAAATAATAAGAACATTATGATAAAATATATTTATATTTCTAATAAGTGTAGTTTATCCAACTTAATTTAAAAATAAATGCTATATTATTATGTAACATAACTAATGATTAATAATGAAACCCACTTCTCATGCTTAAATAAAATATAATTTTAAAAACAGTTACTTATATGTAATAAAAATAAATTGAAATTAATAAGCAGCTTAAAACGTCAAGTTTAAGAGAAGGAACTTATGGGAAAATTTTGTTACTGAATTATTTCAGTGTTCTATTAAGATATTTGTTTACTGAACTGGATTTTAAGGGAAGAAAACCTTTCATTGCCATTTGTTTAAACTTTTAAAATGTCACTAATGGAACTCAAAATTAGGAAAATACTATTAGTTTTACATACTTCTATATGTTCAATATCATACTTTAAAAATTTCACAGTATAATGTTATGTAATTTATATAACACATTTTGACATGTTAGTAATTTTATAATATAGTATATAAAAATATAAAAATTCTGAATAATAAAGTTAGTAAAAACTTCTATTTATTCTAATGCTTGAATAATAGCTAAACAAACAAGATTCATCACATCTACGTAGAAAATTTAAAAAGGGAAAAACAAAAGCTTCAAGCTTTTAACTGTTTGTTTATGGGGGTAGGCTCCGGTAAAAAAAACTTTTAATACTCGTTAGAAAACAATTGTTTCTCTATAGCTGTTTTAAGGTACATCTGCATATGTTTCCACTCAAAAAATTGGTGGAAAAATTTTGGTAACTATGACAAAGGTGGCCATCTTGAAAAATTAACCCCTTCATAGGTTTTCCACCATTCACAAAATTGTATAGTTTAAGCCCAATAAACAATGAATTCATAATCTTCTTCCATATTTTGGGGTACTCACCTAAAAATTTTAAGTGCATATCTTCAAACTAATTTTTCTGAATTTTCAAATAGTGGGTCTATTAAAAAAAAACTAGTTTAAATGCCCCAAAATTAAGTGTTTTGAACGAACAAAAATTTTGAAAATTCTACCCCCTTAAATAAGAACAAGACTTGCTACCTCAATGTATCTTTTTTGACAAACTAAAGATTTTACTTAATGAAACTTATGTGCATGCGACATAATTAATTATAATTAGTTATTTTATTTAAACTTATTTATACTTTCTGATTTTCTGTGTACAATTTTTTACAAAATGCAAATCTGTTTACCTCACCAGATTAAATTAATGAGATTAGTATTTAGTTAGGTTTAAGTTAGTAAGGAATGAGCTCAAAGAAATGCCAGCATTTTATCAAGCTGTGTTGATTAGAAAGATACTATTTGCTCTAAACTAGAGTAAAAATCATATAAGATTAAAACTTAAGCAAACAGTGGCATAAAGTAGTTCTCAAAATAAAAAAAGAAAGAATTGATATTTATATTTAAAATATAGTTTCAACAAATTTTCTTGTTCTTAATATAAGCACAAAATTAGATGTCTTTATCAATTAATGTTATATTTAAAATAATTTTAACATAGTTATTATGAAAACTATAAAAAAAAATAATTGAGTCTTCAATCACCATATTTCAAACAAATAAAACAGGAACAAAGGTTCAACATGCATAGGGATGACAAAACATGGTAAACAGAATGATGGAACTGAGATTGCTTTCTATTGTAAAAAAAGGTGAAACTCTTAACATTAAAAGGTGAAAAAAAAAGCAACCCAAAAAGGATAAGCAGAGGTGATCTTTAAATTTGGTACAAATAAGGATCAAATTTTGTAAGTAGGTAGGTGAGGTGAAGAAGCAGACTAAACTATTAGAACTCAGGAAACACTAGATAGCAGAACCAGACTAAATATTCCCAACAAGTCTAAACGTCTTTCACTTTTTTTTTAAAGAAAAAAAAAAACCAATAGGCTTCAATAATCTTTGAATAATATTTAAAAACAAAACATTGAAGGAATATTTCATCTGGTGTTTTTAGTAAGTTGGTTCTTTGTCACAGCGAGACTGGTGTAGTACCATAGTCCTCCCCTCGCAGAACCTCAGGCGCTATGTAGTTTGGGGTGCCACAGAAGGTGTTTGTTTTGTCACCTGGCCTTAGGTTCTCCTGGGATCGGGGCAAGAAGAAAGACATTTGTTGAGGCTGACAAACTCTGATGCTGGTTTCATTAGCCATCATCACAGGTACAACAAGAATACAACAAGAAGCAATGTCCTACACTATTGGATGATGACCTGAGGCTGATGGCTATTTGGGCCAGTGACACAGCTGATGATGATGACGTGAGAATATGGGAGTGACAGGGCTTATGACAATGGCCTGAGACTATGGTGACAAGGCTTATGACAATGGCCTGAGACTATGGTGACAGGGCTTATGACAATGGCCTGAGACTATGGTGACAGGGCTTATGACAATGGCCTGAGACTACGGTGACAGGGCTTATGACAATGATGTGAGGTTAGGCCAGTGACACAGCATATGACAATGGCCTGAAATTATGACAGCCACAGGACACAACGACGAGGTTATGAGAGTGACAGGAATTGTGACAATGGCCTGAGATTATGGTAGTGACAGGGATTATGACTAGGGCCTGAAATTAGGACAGCGACAGGACACAATGACATGAGGTTATGAGAGTGACCAGGAATTCTATGGCAATGAAGTGAGGTTAGGCCAGTAACTGGCCTTTTGACAATGACCTAAGATTATGACATTGACAGGAATTATTACCATGTCCTGAGAATATGGTAGTGACAGGGCTTATGACTAGGGCCTGGAAACATGACAGTGGCAGGGCTAATGAGATTATGGAAGTGACGGGGATTATGATAGTGACATTAGGTCAATGGCAGCGGCTTGAAGCTATGACAGAAATCCCGGGTTATAACAAAACACTAATAACAACAATATGACAATGGCTGGGGCTAATGACAGCAACTAAAGGTCTATGATTATGACAACATAATGTTTTATAGTGACAACATTTTAAATAAAATAATTAATACAAAAGCAAATGATCAAACTAAAAGTATAAAATTTTGAATGAAAATAATGTGTTGACTATACACTCATTTTTAATATATACACAACAGAAATTAAATTTGATGGAATAATGTATTTTGACTCAGAATGTCCAACTTGGCAAGTGAAATATTAAAGTATTAAATTTCTATGACATCACATGTATAAAAAGTCTGGCAACAGATGGGGGCAGTGGGAGTGAAGTGTAAGCAGAGATACACAAACCACCTAAACCTTAGTCAGCAACTTGATTTCGCCAGTAGCAGCCGAATCGTTTAGCAAAAAGTAAAATTTGATGGTACTTTCCAAGAAATTGCAAAATAGAGAAACAAAGACATTTCTTTTTAAGTTAGGATTAAGGTTAGTTGTTTCTCTGTGTTGTGTTTAACAGGAAAGTAACAATTTGGCTCGTTTTGTTATTACGTTAGTAAAACAACATTTGGTTAAGACAGATCAAGTTGCTGAACCATTTAGCGAGGCCCACAGGAGATTAAAATTCTCAAAAGAAGTTTACATGTCAAGTTTATTTAGAAATAAAATTAGATGTTTGAAATTTAAAATAAATATTTAAAAAATTGATAATATATGAAAGAAATAATTTTGTAGTTAGGTAAAAAACATGTAAACTTTTTTTTTGATAAACTCAGAAACACAAACAAAAATGTTTTCAAATCTAAAGTCATCAGTAAACATAAAAAAAAATTGCTTCAATTAAATCAAATAAAGTTAAGAACTTCAAGATAAGTTGCATATTTTTAAATGGTTGTTGGATTTCTTCTAATTTAAAAAAAAATGTTTAGTCATAACTCAGAAAATAATTTTAAGGAAAAAACAAACAAACAACAAAAACATGTCAACTTCCAAAGTGAAATAGAACTTCAATAGAAAAATTAATCCTTATTTTTGTTTGTGGCTTGAGAGCAATTAAAACGCTGAGGTTAATGATGGAACATACAAGGTTAAGTAACAAAGAAAATGGAGTATAATGTGAAGATGAGTTCCCTCCCTTGCTGGATCTTACCATACTCTTCTCCTCTCAAAATTTCTGGAGCTATGTAGTTGGGTGTACCACAAAAGGTTCCAGTTGTGTCCCCTGGTTTCAGACCTTCCTGAATATTAGTGGTGGCATGACATGATGAGATGGTGGTGGGGAGGGAAGGGGAGTTAACAGGTTGGCCATAATGAATTAGTGGCACTAGATCGTGGTGTAGGTTAAAACTAATTAGTTTGGTTTGGTGATTTTAATAATAATAAAAAAATTAACAGACCAAATATATATACATATATATATATATATATATATATATATATATATATATATATATATATATATATATATATATATATATATATATATACATACATATATATATATATATATATATATATATATATATATATATATAATTATATATATATATATATATATATATATATATATATATATATATATATATAACATTAAAGATCTAAAAGTTGCAACTCAAGTATTATTTACACAATTTTGTCAGCTTAACATATTTAACTTATTATTACAGTGTTTTGTCAGCCTAATGGAAACAACTTAGTAGCATCGTATTTCTAGAGTAGCCCACCAACTTACTTTACACATGCCGTAGTCTGTCAGCTTGATGTGTCCCTCAGCGTCCAGCAGGACATTGTCCAGTTTCAGATCTCTATACACAATGCCTGTTTGAGACAAATAAAAAAAAAGTTGCCCAAAGCCAACACAAGTATTTACTTGCAAATTATTTTTAAAAAAAATCAGCATTCTTTACTTTTTGGATTTGCTTCCACAGCCTTTGTCCATCCAAGAATAAACTAAAAGTTAGCAGTTATTTGGAGTTTTCTCTCCCAAAAAGGAATAGCTGTCCCCAGCTATTGGGCCTCACCTGGGTTCAAACTCAGGACTATTACGTTTAGCAACCAATAGTTTACCAACCTGACCACACCAACCTCCTTGAATATCATAACAATATTTTTAAAAACTAATCATCAATTTTGTACCCACGCTAGAAGCGTCGTACCTCTCTCATGCAGGAAATTGAGAGCCAGACAGATCTCAGCAGCATAGAATCTGGCATGCTCCTCTGGCAGGCGCCTCTGTCTCTGCATGTGGAACATTAGGTCTCCCCCGTTCACAAACTCAATCACAAAGAAAAGTCTGAAAACATTCAATAAGTCAAACACAAAGAAAAGTCTGAAATCATTCACATACTGAGCTATAAAGAAAAGTCTGAAATCATTCAAATACTGAACTATAAAGAAGTCTGTTAATATTAATAAATTCCATCACAAAAAATAAATATGAACACATATTTGTAAGTAAAATAAAAAAATATAAATTGGGTTTAAAGCTTTTATAAGTGAAATATTTTTAATGTTAAAATTCTTTTATAATTGCATAACCAGTTTGAAGAGACAGTGTTTCTCACAAGGCTACAAGTTTTATTTTCTCCCTAATGCAATGCCCCATCTGATTTTAGTATGGGGGTAGATTGATTGATAGACAAATTATGATCATGAGCTTGGGGTTTAAACCCATGACTTTAGGTTGCCAAGAAAGCACTTTACACAAGACTTACTTAGAGTGGTAGAGGTTATGACTGCTAACCCAAAAGTCTTGAGATCGAGTGTGTAGGACGTCCCTGAGACCCCCCAGCTCTATTGAGTACCAGACTCAAGTTAGGGAAACAAAGGCGGCTGGGCATAGTGCTGACCACACTATCCCCTCACATGCTGAGGTCATTAAAGCAGATGAACTCTACTTCATTTGCCCCATGTGTCTTGGGCATATTCAGGAAAAAATAATGATACAGTTCCTTCAACATTTCTACTTAAATGTAATAAATTTTTAATACCTGCTAGCAGTTTGAAAACAAGAGTGCAGTCCCACAAGGAATGGATAATTGGTTGCAGCTTCAAACACATGTTTTTCAGTCTGCACCCAGTCTATATCCTGAACAAAAGAGGTACCAGCCATTGGCAGATGTAACAAATTATTTGATTAGCTGAGACATTACAACAATGTAAGTAATCTGCAATTTGTGAATTGCATCAAATAAACATAAATTTGTAAATAAAACACAGTAACTATAGGCCTTGATATTTTAAATATATTTACATAAAGCTTATAAATAAATCAATGCTAACTGTGTGAGTCAATGAAATCTATTGCTTACAAAAACAGAACAGCTCTTAAAATTAGGTAGTCAATTCAGGGATAAAGTCCTAGATTCATTATTTTAATCATTGAATTAAAAATTAATCATAAATTCAGTCCAAATGTTCAATTATTTGAAAATAAATATTCATTTATTGCAGTAGCTAAATATAAACTACAAACCTCATCATCATTAACCAATTCCTTCTTAATGACTTTCATTGCATAAATTCTTTTAGTCTTCTTGTGTTCTACTTGCAGTACTTTGGCATAGCTACCACGACCTATAACCCTCAACAGCTGAAAGTGATCCAGAGTTAGTTGCCCACTATCAGGGTTCCCAGGATTGGACTGGAGGAAAAAAATTTAAAGACTGCAGCATTAAAAGATTTACATAATTTATAATAGAACTGAAAAAAATGTAAATCATTTTAAAGATTATGTTTTATATATACTAATAAAATATATACTAATTTAAAGTTTAAAAATTCCTTTTAAAATTATAAATTAAACTTAACTTCAATGAAAATAACTAGCCAGCTTGAAAAAAAAAATATTATAATAGATTCACTTCAACTTCAAGTAACTAATAAAACTGTACACATTAACATAAAAATGTGTACACTTAAATTTTAAACAGTTGAATACTGTAAAGTACTAGACAAAATTTCCTTACCTCAACTTTTGCTGTCTTTAAAGTTCAAAAGATATGGAAAGAAAAAGAAAATAGTTATTTAAACAAAAAAAAAAGTTTTTAAAACTTAAAGATACTTGTTATAAGCTGAAGAATAATATAATGTACAAGTCTATACCGAATAATTAATAAATCTACAATTCAGTATTTTTTTCAATAAATATGACCAGTCATCTTTGTTTACAATATTAAATGTGTATCTAGAAAAATATTCTCATTTTACAAAGGTGGTGAAAACCACAGGCATGAACTGTAATTAGAAAATTAAGGATAATAATTTAATAATAGGATAATTCTTTTGGCAAACAACAGTGGTGGTTTATAAATGGGTGGTGAATAACCACATTTGCCATTCAAGATAATTTACATGCATACAATGTGTGAAAAAACTGTGTTCACTATCTTAATGCTGGTGTGTTGCCAAAACACAATTTACATGGTTTGTGGAAAGGCTTTACAGTCATTTACACCTATTTTTTGTCTAATTTTATGAGATCAAATAAAAAAAAAAATTATTTACATGATAAGGGCATGTAAAAAACAGGCTTACTCGCTATATCCCAACAGTCTGAAGTTTAATTAACATCATAAAAATATTACTGTAATTATTATTATTCCTTTGCCTGTAAAATAAATCTGGATTGCTATTGTGCAACACTGCTGGCACTTATTTATCCCCCAACTCAGGACTCAGATATATCATGTTCCAACAATGATCTATTGCGTACAATGTTTAAAAAGATCTAGCAAAGCTATGGGTACACATCAAACCACACTGATACAGTTTTTACAACATAAATGTTTGTCTGACTACCAGACTCATTTTCTAGCAGGACAGCATTTAATTTTTCAACAGTTTGATATAACTTAGACATTAAGGTTAAAGGGTTAACACCCATAAAGGTCAAGGGTCAGACACATACACAATTAGGTAAGAGGACAGTATTTTTGTTTTTAAAACAAGAAAGAGCTTCAAATTAACACATGAAAAATAAAACAATTTAAAAACCCAACAATACATCAATATTGCAAATTTTTTTGAGATTTCTTATTATCACAACCATAATTATGAATGTTTACATTATTCAAATGTCTTTCTTGAGTAAGTGTTTGGATGTTAATATTTTGTTTCCAAACTTCTATTCACTTAACTTTTCAATAAAACAAAAACAATAAGGCACTAACTGCCATTTATAAGGAGCATATTCTTTTGTTTAGAAATTCTAAATTACAATTAAGATATTTTATATGACAAATTAGAAAGTACAATTTAAAATCAGCTGAAAATGTAATTTCTGGTAAAATGGAGCTACGAGCAAAAAAACAATTTTTAATAATTGTAAGGTATGTACTACAATTATCAAAACTTGATAAAAGTGTTGCGCAGGTGAGCACATAAATTAGTCCTTCAACTCACAACTAAAACTTGGTTAAAAATCACATTATAACTGTTTACAAGACACTTAAAACTTGGATAAAAATTAAATAATATTTTTTTTGTCCTTCAATTTTAATAGACACCTCTAAATCTTGGATAATTTACATGAACACTTTAAAAAATCAAAATACATGTTCCCGCATAAGCTGATCAGTCTTGTCACAAAAAAAAATTCTTTAAAAGTTAAATAAAAACTTCTATTTTACAAAAACATGAAAAGAATTTATGCACACTATTTCAAGATGATTAAAAACAGTTATTTTTTAAACTAGAATGTAAAGAGTCCAATAAAAATGTATTGTACAATATGTGTAAGTATTATTAAGTAAGGTTGAATTTAGCTTAAAATGGGTTTAATTTACTGGAACTACGTTACGATTTCCTACTTAGTTTATTCATTTGCATATTGCTGATCAACCAACAAAATCGAGTGATTGCATATGGCTGCAACAAATACATAAATATTTAAGTATAGGAAAATGATACTTATTTAGATGACCAGTTGATTAACTAACTTTTTGTTATATATAAAAGTAATCACAAAGACGGAACTAAATCTGTTGAAATATTGTTGATTAAACTAGCAATCTTTAAAATGAAGAAAATTAATTTAAAACAAAACAACGGTAAAAAATTATAAACACAAACTTAATGTTTATATTCATTCTAAATCAAATTCTTAAAAAAATCCTACTTTTTAACTAGTTGAAATAGAAAAACAACAAGGGACATAACTATTAAGCTTGTCCTACAAACTACCAAATTTTTAGTTAACAACACTAATGTTAAATAAGCACACTCTAAAGATGTCTAACAATTTCAAGACAATTAGTTTACGTGATGGATAATAAAATAAGATTTATATAGCTTTGAAAAAAGTCATCTATATTAGTATAAAACCCAATATTTTACTTTTACACTACCTAGAAAGACTTGATTTTTAATATATGAAAATTAATAAGAGCTTTATTACACTTTTTGTTAATTATTATATACTAAAGGGATAATTTAGTTAAAAAGCTAGGATTTAAAAAATGGCAAATAGTGTATTTTGATTAGTTTATAGGCCTATATATGTATATCATGCTTTATTTAAGCTTTTTTTGTGTTACTTAATACAAAAATTTCTTGCAACTTAATATTGATTTAAAAATGACAAAATCTTCACACATTGAGAAACATCAATGATGCACTTTACTGTTTTTTGTGGTATTTTCTCTCTAGAAACAGTAAAATGATGGAGATAAAAAAATAAGGTTTTTATTCCTTTTAATGCTTCACTTCTAGAATGTTATGTTTATTCATTATAATTTAATATGATTACCCAATAGTCATAACTTTATTTCATAAGTCTCTCACATGAAAAGTCTGACAGGGAATAAGACCAGATTTAGTTAATCTCCTCCAATCGAGTAATGATACTGACAGGGGACAGCATAAGATTTTGTTAAGCTTCTCCCAATGTGTAAAGACAGGGGATATAACTCAGTGTGCCACCATCAGGGGACAGCACCACAGCAACATGAGATGACTGTTCCTTCTGTATTACAACAAAATCACAGCTTGCTGGGTGATGTCTCACTACTCAAATATTATCTCCCCTGTACCTAGTGTGTACACTGGCTTAACCAATATCAATTGTTATCTGCCTTTATTCATTTTTTTTCTTTCTTTCCTCTTAGGTGAAGTTAAAACATGTTTAGAAACTTTCTGGCATTGATTCCATGCTTTTACCACACTGATCAATACAGAATACTAACTGTAGTGAATTCACAATTTTAACTCAGTTTTATATCCTGCTAGATGAATTATTATAGCACACTTTACTTGTCTTCCATGAAGCTACCTTATAGCATTGGAGTATTTTGTCGGAGGTTTAAAAAAGCAGCTCATAATTCTAATCATATTACATGTTCTTAAAGTTGATTTCAAAAATAAAATGGGCCTTGCGGTGGAGTGAAAGAGTGTGGGAGACTACTAACATAGGGCCTTATCAGGCACTTAGCTAGAATCTGTATAAAATAACAGTTTTAAAAGGGTGATTTAAGTTTTAGTTTTAGGTTAAAAACATAGAATTGCTCTTTTACAACTTCTTCCTGTCAAATAACAAAGCTGTAAAATTGGGGTGAATGTCATTAGTTATTAATTAAAATAATGTTAAGGGATTTATACTGTTCGTTGTTACTACCAATGGAACTGTATCAGACTTATAAAACTGTACTTTGTAAATTAAAGAATTGTTTTTTTATGTTTATCTAATGTACACATATATTTTACATTGCTTCAATTAAAAGAAATTACTAACAAATATTTATCTATTCGTTATATCGATATCATAATTTACAATGAACATCCCTGACAGAGAGATCCTTATGAAAATTGTATCAGTATTAATTTGTAGGCCTATAGAAAATAATTTAATAGGTGATTTTCTCCTGATAAGGGGAAATAAAAAAAAATACATTTATATCAGAAATCTTACCTTATAGTAAATATTTATATTCTAATGTCGAAATCTGTAAATTTACCTCATAATTAATGTTTAAGTACCCCATTGAAATAAATAATTTTTGTTATACATTTCTAACCAGGAAAGCAGGGTGCAACAGAATTATGCATACACAGCAAAAAAAAAAATTAAATTAAATCAAGACCAAACAGCTGAATACAAAGGCAAAACCAGAATGGACTTAAATAAAGGTGAATTAAAATAAAACAAACGCCACTGCCAAACAATAATTATGCAAAGCGTAATTGAAACAACTGTTTGCGTTTTAAAAACTTTGTGTATACCCAGCTAGACTCTGCATCATGAAAATGGTCCTCATCTTCATCTTCCTCCTCATCATCATCCTCTTCTTCACTTTCAGCCTACAAAAATTGGGTTGAGATGAAACGTGGACGACGGCTGGTGCGACCCAGCAAAGAAAGTGTACCAGCACTTTTTTTAAAAAGCTCAACAAATTTATAAAAAAGCTAATTATAATAAAGGCAAGAAATGTAAATTGTTCAGTCAAAGGCTTTACCTCAGAAATAAAAACATGGCGAAGGCTTAATTTAAAAGTTGTGTGAATTCGTAAAAAAAAAATATTCATAAAAAAAGGTCTTGTGAATAAATTATAATAGCAGAACAAGGATAGCTGAAAAAACACATATCTAAATAAATTTTTTTTAATTCAAACAGATAATATCAGCATCTCTTGTAATTTATAATTCACCTAATGTCCTGCATTATTAATTGAAAATTGTAATTGAATGTTCAAGCATCACTGAATTCTTAATAATAAATTAATAACGGCAAAAGGGAAATAACCAAAATGCAAATACAACCTTAAAATGTTTAACAAACACTAAACTTTATTGAAAAAAATTTCTATTCTAAGCACGGGAATCATTTAAAGTGCAATGGTAAACAGGATGGGAAAGAATAATCAGAAATGGGTGCACAAATTTCTTTTAACTCAATAGTTATTATAGTTACCTCTGCAGCTTTGCTAGCCTATAAACAAAGTATATTTTTAAACTGCCATAAACTAACATAAAAAAAAAATGTAAACTCAAAAGTGAACAAAATAACTGCACACATGACCAAAAGCCCGTGAAAGATTTTAAAAAGTACCTCATCCATTGCCTCAACTCTCATTTCCTTTGTGAACCGCGTTAGATAAATACATACACAGCTTATCAATTTGCACATATGTAAATTAACAGTAAATATGCATTTATAAATACAGGTGATGAAATATTTCAAGAGGGTGTAGGCAGTGATCAACAGAACAATTTAAAATAAATATTTAAAAATCACAGAATTAATACAGCTGCAACATCTTTGAATCTACAAGAACAATCATAGCAGGTAAAAAAACTGAACAGTGTAGATTTATGTACACTAGTCACAAACACAGGGGAAATGTTTTAAAATGTTAATATGTTCAGGAATCATTAGTAGTTTTTACGTTTAATGTTTTTAAACAACATCAGCAAGAAAACAATGTTTACCTCTTTTCCATATTCCACAGGAAGGTTAGGCCTAGAATCTAAAAAATAAAAATAAAATTTACTTTAAAAAAACAAACCATTCTCAATATGCGCTGTCTTACATAGATTTTTATTGGCTAAAAGTATAAATTCGAAATAAAGAAAATATAAAATTACCAACTTATTAATTTTAATCTATAACTAAATGATTGAATACAGATCTACTTCCTTAAATTTTTTTGTTAATTTAAAATGTTCTTTTAAAAAAAAAAATTTATGAACTCACAATCATTACGTTAATGCAGCTTCAGGTGTACAGAAAAATTGAGGGTAAAATTTCTCATAACTTTTCACGTTTCTAGCATTTTAAAATTCCCAGTCTATTTTACATTTCAAATTTATTCTAATATAATGTGAAATCGCTAACTTACATTTTGGATCTCCATTAGCGGATTTAGATTGTCCAACGGCTCCTGTATCCCCATTGTGGTTAGGTGTGTGAGGTTCCACAACCTTTACAAAATGAAATTAAATTGTAAGACTTAATTAGATTAAGCTAACCCTACACAGTTCAGTACAAAATAAATCTTGTATTATAATGCAGTAAAAAAAAAAAACAAATACTTTTTTAATTATTATAAAAAAATATAGCATTGACATCATATATTACTAAGCATTAAAAACCTATCTGTGGATCTAAATATTACAAAATAATTATTTTTAAATTATATGATAACTAGAAGTCAATATATAATAAAAGTAATAACCTCAACAGTCCCACAAATTTTTTTATAAAGTTTATGGCATCTCTTGTGGACAGTGACTCGACAGTTGATGCATTTAAAACCTTGTCGGCCAAGACCCCAGATCCTATCCTGACAAAATGCACAAGCTGCTTTCTGAAATATAAAAATTATTAAAAAATATTATTAAAAAATATTTAAAATATTATTAAAAAACATTATTTAAAATAAAAAAAAAATAAAATAAAAAATATAATCTGATCGTTTTTTTTGGGATGCAACTAAAAGAATGATTTTTTTTCAAGGGCAATAACCATGCTAAATACAATTAAAGGGAGACAATGATGTATAACAAAGATTTAAGCTGATTGAAAGATTATGAAATTTAATCACACAAGAGCACAAAATAAACTTCATATTCTCTTCCTATAAATTAGCAAAAAGAAACCTTTTCTACCAAAAGAAAGGTGTAAGAAAAGAAAATAATCAACAAAATAATATTTTTAACATCTTTAAATTCCAAATATTCATAGTACTCAACACCATTTTAACAACACAATCCAAAGATACAAAGCTAACGGAAACTGATTACACATCGGGAAACTCGTGAAGGTTCAAAACCTAAACGAAGCTAATTCATCTTATCGAGCTGGGAGGAAAAACTCCCTCAAAATACGCACAATGTCATAATCAGCCGCTCCCAAACAAGAGAAGGAGTGGGACTGAAATCGTAGTTATGATAAAAACATAACTACCCGATTTATTGAGAAAATACACATAGGTAAAAAGCTCTTGAATACAATATAGAATTGTCAAACTGAATGTTTTAGAGAGTCCAGAATTTTTTTTTCATAAAAAACGTTATAATAACAAGCTTTTATATAATAATGCACTAAAAAGTAGAAAATAAATTATACACTACTATTTGAATTACTATAAAGAAAAGCGTGGGCCACCTTAATATCTATTAGATACATTTACTAATATTTAGGAAGAGACCCACGCTTTTCTTTATTGTAATTCAAATAGTAGTCTTTAATTTATTTTCTACTTTTTAGTGCATTATTACATAAAAGCTTGTTATTAAAACATTTTTTATGAAATTTTTTAGTGCAATTTCCATTCTGGAGAATTGCGTTTATTAACTCGTCATTTCTGGGAATAGATGGATGGATGTGTGTCCGCAGCTTTAAGTCGTATCTCCTCCTCAACGAAGCAATATCGAGGACTAGTTCCAAAAGCAAATATGTTAAGCAAGTTCCAAGGATGAACATAGGCCAAAAAAATTCCAGGAATTCCCTCCTGGATTTCCCGGAAAAGCCAAAAAACCTCGAAAAAAATGCAGTTTTTGGCCCATATCTCAGCAACCAGACCACTTAGCGACTTGAAACATTTACCAATCGATTCCTGCCATAATTTAGAACAATATTGCCGAAGAAAGTTTTCAAAAACATCCCTTCGCTCGGCCACAAAAAATTAAATAAGATTTTTTAAACTGAGCATCGTGTAGGCCTAGGATGATTTAGCGCAAAGCGCTGAGGTTCGAAAGGATTTTACCATAGCGAATGAGCGGAGGTTCGAAAGGATTTTTTCTATTTTGTTTTGAATTATTGAAACTACTTGTGTTGCATTATTTATTTGCTGAATATATGATTTATCTCAATTTAAAATTGTTATGGATAACATAAGGAAATTGCGCTTAAATTGTCACTAGACTTTTTATTAACTTGTTTTTAGTACTTTACATGTTTTTACAATAGACATGACTAATAAAAGCTCGTTATTAAAACGTTTTTTATGAAATTTTTTTAGTACTTTACATGCTTTTATTTACATTAGAGTTACATGTCTAAAAACCATTGCGCAGCTATTTAAATAGTAGATCATTATTGTATATTTACCATATTTTTTTGTTGCTTTTTATTACATTAAGTATTATGGGATGGCGTAGTCTAGCTGTTAATTATTTAAATAGTTGATCATTATTATATATTTACAGAATTTTTTTTACAAGCTTTTTATTACATAAAGTATTATGGGATGGCGTAGTCTAGTGGTAAAGAACTAGACTGCTGACCCGACTAAAAAACATTGCGCGCCTATTGAACGTGATGACGCGCTTTTGTCGTAGAGCCCCCCCCCCCTCGCTCCAAGCCCAAGAGGGCTGTGATGGCGCGTGTGGATAGAACTGCCTACTAATTCGGTCCAAATTTTAATTAATTCATAAAAAATTAATTAGGCGACCAATTAAGTCAAATTGAATTTCATGATGCATTGTCTTCATGTCTTGACCCACGTACCAATTACGAACCATATATATCAGTTAGAAGTGCCTGCAATTTCGCTCGGGCGTTTCGATCTAGACAGACTGACGAGGAAGTGAGTTAAATAAAGCTTGTAAAAAAAAGTAAAATTTCCAGATATTGGAAATCACTCTAAAGTTTATATAATTATATAAACCTCTATATAGGATCTAACTCATATATTTAAATGGCATTCAGACAATTGCAAAACAATGCTTTCGAGTGATTAAATAAATCAAACAAACTCACCCTAGAGAACCTTTTAGCTTGAAACAAATGTCCATTGACTCTGTAGAGTTTTCGCCACCTTCTTGCACCTCTTCTGTACATATTTCCTAAAACAGACAAGTAAGTGGTCATCCATTTACAGGGTCCACACTAAAATTGAAATTTAATCTCCCCATGTTCCCATGCCCTATTTAGACAAAACTTACAACCAATAATTTGTGTTATGTATGTGTACCTTGCAAGTGATTTTTGTTTAGTTTAGATATTAACTGCCATTAGAAATTAAAAGTAAAATCTAAAATGTGTTAAGAAACTAAAAATATATATTTTGAAATAAAATTGAGAGCTTGTTTTAATGTAATGGATTATTTTTCCAACAAACAACCAGATGTAGGCTTTTAAAAAATTCATATTTTATACAGAACTAGCTGACTGAGAAGAAAAGCTGACATAATATTTTAAGAGGATTTCATCAATGTGTTACCAATCGTGTATTTATATAAAATTAGACTCACTGTCTTCTCCGACGCATGGTAGACCAGGACGCACTGGAACGTTGGGAAAGACTGGCGAAAGAAACCACAAACAAAAATATAAATAAAAGAAAATATTTTTCATTAAATGTTAGCTTTACATAGCGTTGACAAAATGCTAAAGATATTCCTCTTTAATAGCTATTAATTAAAAAAAACTTTTTAAATAAATTAATATACACTGATTTATCAAATTTTTTAAAAAAGTATATTAAGTTGCAGTAAGAACATAATTACCATGAATATTTAGTTCTGAATCTTTGTTTACTTCATACAGCCTAATCGCTTCATTTAACTCAATTTGTGATGATATTGTGCAAGGGTCACCTAAGAAAAAAATAAAATAAAACCAATTTAAGTGTTGGTTTATATTGATTGCATATTTGTAAGTTGAATAATTTATATAATTGGTTCAATTCTTAAAGGATATTTGTACTCTTATTACAGTAACATTATACGCATAGAAATCAATGCCGACAAGACAATGATCATGACCATCAACCTAAATGGCATAGTAGCAGACATTGAATGGCCAAAGATTGAAGGAAGTTCATTCAAGTATCTTGGCGCCATACTATCCGATGATGGAATAAATAAAAAAATATTTGCAGGATATGCCCGAATCTTAAAGAGATCTAATGAAGGACTGAGATGGTTGGCTTAGAACTATAAAGTCAACTGAGGTGCCACAAATACTCCAATAAGGGTAAAGGGATGATGATAAACATCTGCGACATGACATCAGTTGTTCTTTAAAATAACTATGATCCATTACCTTCTTCATCAAGCCATTTAACAGTGAATGGCTGATTTTCAACAAACTTGCAAATATCTTTTATCTCAGCACAGAAATCGGAATACTTCACATCATTCTTTATGTTGGTTATCAAAATATTCCTGTTTAAATATATAAAATTAAAATCAAATTATCACACAGGATATATATATATATATATATGTATAGAAAATGAATCCTGTTTACTTAAAAACTATAAATTCTATTAAGAAAAAAATACTATCAAAACATTCCCGCTAACATAAATATTATCAAATTAAAATATCATACTGGATGTACAAAGAAAAAGTATCAATTAACAGATTATTTTATTTACCAGAACTGGATAAACAAGGCTTTAGAAAAATTAATTTATTTAAAGTAGCTACTTTTATTATATATACAGTACTAATTGACATCAGAGAATCACAATCAATTTTACTTATACTGCCAGTGCCTTAAATTCAAGTGTGGCATAATGCAGTTTCAAAGAGCTTTTCTAAAAAAAATATTACATTTCAGCATCTCATTCAAATGTTTATTTCTTATCAATTGGTTTCAGTTTAAAGATTATGTTTTCACAATGTTACAAACAATGGAAAAACAGGTAGGAAATTTTTGACGAAGATTTGTTGTCACAGCGTGAAGGTTAAAAAAAAATACATGCCCATCGTAGCCAACTCGGATTCGAACTGAGTTCTCCAACTCTTCTGGATCAAGGGTGGGCATCCTAAATCTGTCGAGTAACATACGTGCATGAGATAAAATTAAGAACCAAGGTAATTGTTACATAGTCTTGCCAGCACTGCCACTAAACTCTTGGTAGTGTGATGCTATAAACAAAAATAATTTTATGTATATATATATATATATATATATATATATATATATATATATATATATATATATATATATATATATATATATATATATATATATATATATTATTATATATATAAAAGTTTTATATATATATTTATAAAAGTTTTAAAAGTTTAGGCTAAAAAAAACTAAACTTTAAACAAATATAACAGGTTAGTCTTATGGACCTAATTTTACTTGCTGAATCATTGGTGATAAAATAAAAACAGGCACAACTGATAGGCCTGCAAAATAACAATAATAATAATTAGCAGTAAGCTATGTTTGAATCTAGGGGCTGGCTACCCCCCACCCCAAGTTTTGGTAATTATTTACATTTTTCCGAAATATATGCCATTCAAACAAAAGTAGACAAATTCTTTTCACATTTGCAATTTTATGATATTTTTTTTCAAATGTTTTTCATATTTCTTGATGTATATTTGTATAGCTATGGGCAGATTTTGGGAAGCTTCCTACCCCCCCCCCCCCCCCCCCCCCCAAATATACTTATATATATCCAGACCCACCAAAAAATAAATAAATAAAAAACTGAAAGGCTCGAGCCACTTATGAATAGGCATAGTAGTATACTTGACATACTGATTCATTGTACCATGCTTTACTTCAAATTTCCAGACACTGGGCTGTGTGCTTATGACAAGGTGTAACTCTACAGTGAAGACAAAACAATACTTATTTAGACAGATAAGTTACTTTAAATGTAACTATTATACAGTAAACTGGATCCAAAATCTTTAGTGAGGACAAAAGATAACATGTTTAATTTAAATCATATACATTAGAAGAGCAGTAGAAATTTTAGTTATCACTAATTATCGGTGTCTCTAGGCCAAGATGAGATCTTATAGGCCGAACCAAGAATTAAACACCTTTGATTATTTTTCAAATGTTCTTGATTCACAACTATGCCCATTCATTACTTGAATTGAGCCTAATTTCTGAACTTCTCATGATAAGAAATGTATAGCTTACATTAGATTAGTAAAGTTTTGATTTCCAAGTGCCTCTCACCCTGGCGGAGAAAAAAATCTGAAAGAAACACTATCCTAGTGATTGATGTTAAGCGGCCAAACGTAGAAAATTGGTAAATGGGTCTAGATTATAGAAGTAGGGTCTACCCCTTTAGTCTGTATGATTTACAAATGCATGCGACCAGTGTTTCTTTCAGACTTTTTATTACCCCAGGGGGGGGGGTATGGATTACTTGAAATTTTTGAGAAAGGGGGGGGGGGGGGGTATTTGGACTAAACTTTCCCGAGATGGGTGCGGACACTGGTAAAAATATATTTTGTAAATAAAATTTCATTATAGAATGTGGTAGAAGTAGCCTGAAAGAAACTCGAATGCAACTTTTGTCTACGTGTAGATCAAGGTTAAATCCGGTTAATTGCTGATTCTGGATAAAAATAAGTTTTCAATGATATTTTTCATTTCTGGTTAACTTTGAAGTTGAGGTAGTGATTTTGGTTTAGAGAAAAAGACTACACTATCAACCTAGCACCTGTTGTATTTCTCCCTCAATGGGCCATTTATCTAGTAGGGCCTAATAATAATAATATCTAGATTCTATCTGATATCTGGAATTCTAGATTCTAATCTTAAAATTTATAGAAAAGACCTAGATGGTGTTGGGAAATTGCGAGACGTGAAACAAGAAATAGCAAGGCGGTAAACTGAGAGAAGAAAATGTGAGACATACCTGCAGAATCACTGGTAACTAAATAGCGAGACACAATTTGCGAAAACAAAATTTGTTTCATGTTTTTTGGATATTTTTTTTATAGTTATAAACTAAAGAAGCTGATATAAGATATCTGGGTAAAATCTTAGTTTAGCGTAGTAAATTCCAACGTAGCTAGTAATGTGCGATGAAGGTAACTAATGAATATTTCTTTCATTTGGCCTTATTTATGTCATATTTTACATAATATAACACATAATTGAATAACAAATCACAATCCAAGACCAAACCAGTTATAAATATCCTGGAATAAACTTTAAACTATTCCGTTCGAGACAACAGTGAGTAAATACAAGCAGCGGCCATGTTTCAAAAACAATAAATTGTCTATTCGCATGTCTTTTGTGTTGATTTTGTGGTTTAATATGATTGTTTTGTATTGTTTTAATATATGCCTGGGGGTCGTCCATAAATGACGTCACACTCGTAGGGGGGAGGGGGGGGGTCCGTAATTTTATGATGTTGTGTGATGAGGGGAGGGGGGGGGTCAGATGGTGCGACGTCACACTTTTGCATTTTAAAAAAGCAATGTTAGAAACCGAATTTTAGACGTTATTTTGCTTTTTAGAAAACTGTTTTAATACATTGTAATAACAATTGATTAAAATACTCGATTTTGACAGAGTTCAGACAAGATTTTGGAAAAATATAGCTGTTTAAAAACAATTCAACTGCAATTTTGAGGGGGGGGGGTGGTTGTAGGCTGAGGTGTGACGTCATTTTAGGGGGGGGGTCTGGCTTTTTGTGACGACGTGTGATGGAGGGGAGGGAGAGGTAAAAATCGTCAAAAAAGCGTGACGTCACTTATGGGTGACCCCCTGTATAGTAATTTTTCTTTTTTTAAAATATAGTTGACATGAATGACTAATAGACCTTTTAAGACTTAATAGTGTGCATCCAAGACCACAACAATTGTTGGGAGGTCGAACTTTTGAACACTTTATTTGCAGTAAGCAAATCAATATTAGATCGCTCATAAGTGACGTCGCTCTTAAGATAGTAATGACAGTGTGCATTATTACAGAGCAAACATATGAACATATTGTTTCAGATAGAAATTGTGATTTGTGGTGGGGAGAGGTTGAGTAGAACTCAGCGATGTAATTTTGGAGATGGGTCAGGTTTTTTTTTTTCGTGAAAACAGGGGATGGTTGTGGGAGAAAGACCAGCTGTAGAAGTATTACGCGTCATTCATTGGTGATCCATTTTCTCAGTGGGGACGATAGAACTATCAAGAAGGGTCAAAAAATGTAAAAAGCATGCCGAGTCGCATTTCTTGAACCCCACCTTTTTCATTCCCCCACTTAGCACATCGTCACCGAGTTAACGCTCGCACGTGACGTCATGTACCGGTACCCGCCGACCGTTAGGCTAATTTTATATATAAAAAAAAAAACAAGTACTGCCTTTTTGACGCTTTTGCGACGTTTAATTTGATTACATAAGTTGGTGTTCATTAAACAGCCCCTAACACATCTATCACTCGTCCATTTAAACGTACGTAATTATTTCTGCAAGCTTGCTGTCTTGAGACTTTCGGCCCTTGAAAAATGTATTAAGCTCTCACCGTATAGAACTAGACTACCCATATTAAGCTCCAATAGAAGCTTGGTGAAAACAGGATGGCCGTCCGATTTTGAAGCTGCTCTAAGCTTTATAAAAAGCACAATAAACGATAAGATGACACTTATATTACAGTAAATTATAGTTCTGAATCTTGATACATTAAAAGTGATATTCGGAAATTAAGAGCCAGACAGTCAACATGATATTTCAATTTAACTTTTAAGTCCAAGAAAATAAATTTCCTCAAACGATGGAACATTACTAAATTTTCGCGCAGTTTAGCGAAATTGAATTTAAGTATTTACGTCATCTTACAAAGCGCGATAGCCTACTGGTGCTCTAACGCGGCCCATGCTAATGGCCGTATTCCTAAAGCCCCGCATTAGACGCGGCTTATTCGTCGGCAGGCATTTGGTGGCAAGCCTTTTTGACGGGGATAATGTGTTGCGGTCGTTTTGCCAAATGCCTTAAACTAGCAGGCATGCAACATTTGTGATGATTCGATTTTAGCAAGGTATACGTATACTAATGCTTTTTTATTGTTATTTTGATTGAACAAAGCATTATAGAGGTTCTCCAACAATCCCCTAGGTATTTTTCCCCGTTCACATTCCTTTCATGAGACCGACACGTCACAAATCTTCACTCACTCCCGTAGCAAATCATATGTGACATCATTTATGGACAACCCCATATCACTCACTTGGGTACTTGATATTGACAATTTGACAACAAAGGATAATAATTGACAACACGCACTTAAGGGTTGGACTGGCTCATAGTTTTAGATGATGTTTTACGAGGGATGCTGGTGGATAATACATTTTGTCTCTCTGTATATGTAAATGATGACAAACATTTAATGTTGTCAAAATTATGGTTAGAGATCTTAGATAAGGCAGAGTGAAGCGTAATTTTTTACATTATGACTTGTTGTGACATTGATGACAAAAATATGACGGAGGTCGGGGTTTAATTAAGGTTAAGAGAAGTAAAAAAAAATGTCATAAATTACGATAGAATTACTAATTGATGAAAAGAAAAACCTGAAATGAAAATAGTGAACATTCAAACAATAAGGAAAAACTCAAACTATATAGTAATAGTAAGATCAAATAAACATTAGTAAAAAAAAACGTGATTTAATACATGGATACAAGTTGCATCTCACGATGCTTCTAGAATTAATAAAGTTGTTTGTTAGGAAATTCACATTTTAAAAAAAATGCTTTGTAATACGGACTTTACAACAAGACTTCATATTTAAATACATTTTCATACGAATAGAAATGAAAGGGAAGCTACTCTCAATAACATTTTCTTAAGATGGCTGCTGTTTTTAATAGCAAATTTACTATCTCGAACAGGGTTGATAAAAATTAATTTCAGGATATTTAAATTGATTTAACCATAAAAGGTGATCTATTATTCAATTATCTATAATACTTGATCAAAATATACGAAAATATACTCATATTTAATGACATATTCATTAATTCACTCTCTCCCACATTACTAGTTTTGGTCGAATTTACGACGCTAAACTAAGATTTTACCGATATCTGATATAATCTATCTGATCATCATGAATGTTGTCTTATTCCTTTTTAAAATCTGCGTAAGTATCTAGTATCTACTATCAGGTGGTGGTAAAATGTGAGGCAAAATGTCACATTACCGACGGTTTTCGCACCCTTCTCGCAGTTTACCCCCTCGCCATTTCGCAATTCGCCAACACCCAGTTCTAAATCTAGTCTAGATTCTAGTAAAAATATAGTGAATTATAGTGGCCTAAAAAATAAAAATACTAGATCTAATTTTTACTAAAGTAAAGTATTAGTATGTAAAAAATGAACAAGTCAAACTGAGTTTACTGAGGAGTGAGTCAAAAGGTAGGCCGTTCGAATTCACAGCTTCCGGGTTTGTTGTTTTGAAGCCATCTCACGGCTCATGCGCTTACCAAAAATGGCGACCAGTTTCGCTTTCACTAATGGGTAGAGGGATAAAACTAATGATTACGAAGCCATCGTTAATTTTAGACATCGGAACTATCCGTTTCTATTTAAGTCTGTTGTTTAAGAATTGTCGGATCTACTTTTGGCCTAATTTCTTTGTTTGTATTTAACGAGGCCGTCGAGAGAAAGTCACGCTTATTTAGCTTGCGTTTCAAGTCGAATTAACTAAAGCAGGTGCGCTCGACAATAACTTTTTTATTTTTTACAATTTTTATAACATCTTTACTATCAAATAAAAATTGAATTGTTTAATGAAATTAGGGTGAAAACAATACATTTGAGGGTGTAAGTGATCACCCCTCAATAATGCCATTTTATTATATTCTTGTTTGGTGAAAACGAGGCGCGGGAAAATGTGTGCCGCGCAAGAATCCAATCATTTGGCTAGATTTATGACTGTTTTTTATGTCATACCTAAAAATAGAATGTTTACGCTTTCTTCGTTGATGATCGTTTTTATTATTTTTTAAATTGAAAGTATGAATTATTAGTTACATTGCGGATTTTGTAACTTGGTATACTTACCTTTTATCAATTTAAAAAACATAGCATGCTAATTGTGAACAAATATAGTCATAAAACACAGAAATATAAAGTTATAATTGCGATGTGCCACACCCGGGCCACACCCCCTCAAGAAAGCATGTGTTTATTAAGCTGTTTATCTCACTTTACAACAGTAATTAAAATTAATTTTCAAATTTTTATCACTTATTGGGTAAGATTAAGCACATGTTTACCAAAAATAAAAATAAAACAAAAGCAAATTCTGTTTTAATGAAGGTCACGGGTGAAGTTTTTTTTTCCTTCTGTCACGTTCAGTGGAGGGTGCCACAGGCTGACCTGACTTTGGAATTTTTTTCAGTAATAATGACTTTGCACAGAAAGTTAAAATATGCTAAATTAGCTTAGTTTACTAGTGTTCTAGCTATTATTGATACATTTTTAATAAAAAAATCATTCTGTAATTCTCATCAAACAGCCTAGTCAAAAGGAAAGGGGCTAATCCTTTTCAAGGGGATACTAACCTATATTTTGATCAGACGCCTATAATTTCGTCCTTTAATCACAGGGAAATAACGTAATTGCAATAAATCTAAACAGGCTTAATTTAAAGCTAGAATATCTAGATCTAGAGTTTCTAGACACTTAGACAATCACAATAGAAATAGAAGACATAAATAAACAGTGGATGCGGAAACGTTTCTATTACAGGAAATAAAGATTTGGGGAGAAAAATTCGCTTTTTTAATCCACATTATAATAATTCATTAAAGTTGTTCTTGTCAAGATGGGACGTGAAACGATTTGATTGAAGAGTTATGTAGGGCCTTTAATTATTATAAAAATAAACATAAAATTAGTTAAATGACGCTTTTACTGGAAAAAAGGATGTAACAATGAAGAAAAAGGTTCTAAATGACGCCTAGAATCAAGCTGGGTGGAAGAATGAAGAGGTGGGGAAAGACAAAGAAGTGCAGAGGTGTTTGAATACACTGCTAATTCCAGGAACAGATCCCCTCTCACCAGAGGCGTAGCGAGGGGGGGGGGGGTGGGGTGGGGCGGGGCGGGGGGGGGGGGGGGTACATATGTCCCCGGGCGCCGACCTTAGGGGGGGGTGCAAATGAAAAGTTCGAGGGGGGGGTGCAAATCGAAAGTTTTTCCCCGGGCGCCGGGAAGGGTCGCTACGCCTCTGCCTCTCACAACGTTTATGTATGTGTATTATGTAACCAGGTTAGTGGTCCATTGACGTCTTTAAAAAAATGAAATTTAGACTCCCCCCCCCCCCCGTCCATACGTGTCCACAGACAACAAACTCTCCCTACTGATGTGAACGTTCACAAACAATAGAAGTTTCAAAACTCACTAGATCTAGACATATGTGGGCCTACTCATCCAAAAACATGTAGGCTTATTCCTGATGCAGTTGTGGTCAAAGCGATGCAAATAATTTTGTCCTATTGTAGACCTATGGGCCTATATTGATGTATTCACATTTGAAATATGTTTTTTTGTCTTGTAACATTGGAGGGGATTTCCTTCAACAAAATTAAGTAATAGCATACGTGTCGACATCTATCGCGGCATACAGCCCGTTGACACCAACTTCAGCCTATAATTCTTTCTATATTTGCTTCCATAATCTTTGTTCACCAGAGTTTCTTCCAGGCATCTCTTCGGAGAAGTCTACCGCCCCCCCCCCCCCCACACACCCGAACGAAATGGAATTTAAATAGAAAATATATACTTTTAACACTGTCCGCCCCCCGGATATTTTAGCACCCCCCCCCCCCCCCGAAAATTTCAAATACCCCCCCCCCCTTCCCACACCGGAGAAAAACACTGGAAGAAACACTGTTGATCACCTAAGAACAAACTACACAGCAGCAGCTGTTTTATAGATTTCCTCTCCTAGATGGCTGCTGTCCCCAGCTAACGGATCTTATCTGCAACATTCCCTCTAAACTCTAAGGGGAAAAGGCTTGTGTGCCACTTGTATTTTGTGTGCGAGGTGTTCTAAAAGTTTTATACAAGGATCTATGTATTTTACAAAAGGACTGCGCGGCAGGTTCAAAACTGCTGCGCGGCCGCGCAACCGCACAGCTTAGAGGGAACAGTTATCTGCCCGGGGATCCGAACTCCAGGTTTTGGAGTTACCAATCATGCTTTCTCTCGCCTGACCACGCCGCTCCACTTCTCCTGTTAAAATACCGACAGTGCTTCTTCCAGACTTTTTCTCCGGTGGGGGGGGGATGAACCTTGTTAAAAGTAGGCTATATATTTTCTATATAAATTCCATTAAGTTCGGGGGAAGGGGGGGGGGGGGGGAAGAGAAAGGGGCGGTAGACTTTCATGGTGGGGGGGGGGGGGCGGAGTCGTCGTCTCTGAATACCGGGATTTTATTTTAATTGTTTTTCCAAGTATAAATAAAAAAAAACAACATGAACCAAGAAAATGACCAGAGAACGACACAAGTGGAAAAAGCTTTCTGTAGCGGCCCCATGTGACTTGGTCATTAAAGGGAATAGATGATGAAAAACCAAAAAGAGATTGCGGGTTACTGTTTTTTATACATGGAACAAAGACATTTTATGTGGTCATGTTCATCATTCTAAATTACTAATATAAGCAGTGGCGTAGCGAGGTCGGATGTCACCCGGTGCGGCACTTAATGGTGTCACCCCCCCCCCCCCCAGAGGCGTAGCGACCCTTCCCGGCGCCCGGGGACAAACTTTCAATTTTCGATTTGCACCCCCCCCCTCAAACTTTCGATTTGCACCCCACCCCCCTCCACCCTTGTCCGGATTTGTCAAATTTGCTCTTAAAAGAATATTTAACACTCGAATTAATCACTTAATTTAATTAAGTGGAATTATATTTTTCTCTATATATTTTGCTATTTTTTGCCTTGGTGTCAACCCCCTAAATTGTGCCACCCGGTGCGGTCCGCCACCCCGCCCCCCCCCTCGCTACGCCATTGCTTATAAGCGTGAAACTAATTAAAGACCACGTCTAGTTTTTAAGACCTTCTATCCTTTTCACCGCTCTCTTAGTACCGAGGTTCGACTTCATCTTGATAACATTATTTCATCAAGCTCAGCCGTTAAATTTAGCATGTTAGTCTTGTATTTGTTGTGGTGTTTTGATGTTAATTTTAATAGGCGGACGTCGACATGGATCAGACCCCTCCATCGGTCCACAGAAGTCGATTTTTCCTAAACCCACTTCCCCTCTTCGTTTGGTCATAAATAGATGACCCTTTATGTAGACGTAGTCAATAGGTCATAATTTATCTACCAGACCTAATCCGTATTAACCAACCGTTAATGCGTTATTGTCTAATGTCAAACTAGACGTTTTTCAATCACTTTAAGTTGTGTTTATGGCAAAGAACGTCGAGAAAATAGTTCTATATGGTTATGTTTTAAACTTTTGTGATTTAAATATGCTGCAAAAATGTCCAGACAAAATAGGTTGCTAATGTCCAGAAAAAGATGCTGCATATGCCTTCCTACAGCGTAGTAAACCCTAAACCATAAACCCTGTGGCAGTGAGCTAAACTCTAAAAACTGTAGCAGTGAGGTGAACCAAAAACCTGTGTCAGAGAGGTAAACCCTAAATCTGTGGCAGTGGGGTACCCTAAACCATGTGGCAGTGAGGTGAACCCTAATCCATGTTGCAGTGAGGTGAACCCTGAACCTGTGGCAGTGAGGTGAACCCTAAACCCTGTGTCAGTGAGGTGAACCCTAAACCCTGTGGCAGTGAGGTGAACCCTAAACCCTGTGGCAGTGAGGTGAACCCTAAACCTGTGTCAGTGAGGTAAACCCTAAACCTGTGGCAGTGAGGTACCCTGAACCATGTGGCAGTGAGGTGAACCCTAAACCTGTGGCAGTGAGGTGAACCCTAAACCCTGTGGCAGTGAGGTGAACCCTAAACCCTGTGGCAGTGAGGTGAACCCTAAACCTGTGGCAGTGAGGTGAACCCTAAACCCTGTGTCAGTGAGGTGAACCCTAAACCCTGTGGCAGTGAGGTGAACCCTAAACCTGTGTCAGTGAGGTAAACCCTAAACCTGTGGCAGTGAGGTACCCTGAACCATGTGGCAGTGAGGTGAACCCTAAACCTGTGGCAGTGAGGTGAACCCTAAACCCTGTGGCAGTGAGGTGAACCCTAAACCCTGTGGCAGTGAGGTGAACCCTAAACCTGTGGCAGTGAGGTGAACCCTAAACCTGTGGCAGTGAGGTGAACCCTAAACCCTGTGGCAGTGAGGTGAACCCTAAACCTGTGGCAGTGAGGTGAACCCTAAACCTGTGGCAGTGAGGTGAACCCTAAACCCTGTGGCAGTGAGGTACCCTGAACCATGTGGCAGTGAGGTGAACCCTAAACCTGTGGCAGTGAGGTGAACCCTAAACCTGTGGCAGTGAGGTGAACCCTAAACCTGTGGCAGTGAGGTGAACCCTAAACCCTGTGGCAGTGAGGTACCCTGAACCATGTGGCAGTGAGGTGAACCCTAAACCTGTGGCAGTGAGGTGAACCCTAAACCTGTGGCAGTGAGGTGAACCCTAAACCTGTGGCAGTGAGGTGAACCCTAAACCCTGTGACAGTCGGGCTCACCTGTCACCATATACCCCAAGGCAGTGAGGTAATCCACTTTGACTATGGTAGTGAGGTAAACCATAGTACCTCACCTCTGTGTTCTCCAATAGCTATCCCAAGGATTCGCCTGCTGTAATATTGAATTTTATTCTGGTATTTCTTTTAAAATTGACCTCTATAACTCAGTCATTCGGAGGTTCGTTGATTGTCAGGAGAGTTAGACGCAACAGCAGTAAAAAAAAAATCTACTAAACAAAAACCGACGCTTGAAACCAGATATTCTATCCACAACTCACCTGCAAAGCATCATGCTTCGACTGTCTTCTAGAATCTACGTACTGTAGTATTTTTTTTTGCCAGAAAAAGAGCATGTCTGTCATAGCAGTAATCATATATTTTAAATCAAGAAACTAATCCTCTCCTTTACGTGCAATTACTAAGTAACTCGAAAAATCCATTTTAACTTTGTTAAGATTGTGTGTCTTTTGTTCATTTGGTAATTTGTTTTAGGTATGATTAAGCCATCAAGATGAAGCAGTTAGTGGTAGTTTTTTTTTCTAGTTAGGATATGTCACGCGTTAAATGTAACCCCCGCCCCCCCCCCCCTCCCCCGAGAACGTGATCCAAACGAATTATCGATCTGAAGAGGTCAACTCGACCCTTTAGGTCAATTTGACCTATTAAATTTGATATCGAAATCGATCACGTATACTAATGTAATAGTTTGGTGGTGGAGGTGATTGTGGAGGTATGGTGGTGGAGTTGGTGGGAGGGGATAGAGGTGGGAGGGCTGGCGGTAGTGGTGGTGGTGGTGGTGAGATGGGGTGGAGGTGTTAGTGGAGGTGGAGTGGTGATAGTGGTGGTGGTAGTGGAGGTATGGTAGGGAAAGAAGTAGGGGTAGAGGAAGGGTGGGCTAGTGATAGGGGTGGTGTTGGAGGTGTTAGTGGATGTGGGGGCAATGGTGGTGGAGATGAGATGGTGGCGTCATTGGAGGTGGGGTGGTGATGGTGGTAGTTGTGGTGGTGGTGTTAGTGGAGATAAGGTTATGATGGTGGTGGTGTTGGAGGCGGTAGTATAGGTGGTGTGGTGGTGCCAGGGTGGAGGTGT